TACCATAGGGTTCTATAAGAGGGGTTTAGGGTTTAGGGTCTACTTAGAGGCTCCTGGGACTTAGTAAGTAGGGTTATAAGTAGCTTATAATTAGGATAACCCCACTTAGGGGACTTATAACCCCGATTATAACCTACTTACTAAGTCCCATGATCCTCTAAGCAGAAGCAGACCCGTAAAGGCCTCGAACCTTAGGGTGCATATAAATCGCTTTGAGCCACCATGAAACGTTAAGGCTTGCGAATTCGGAGCCCGAGGGTATGCTCTACTACGCAAGCTCTGGACACCCCTTCAACCACAACCCCTAGTGAGGATATACTTTGACCCCAAAGTGTCTAACAAGGAACCCTTTCGAGGCCAAAGACGCCACAGTTTGTTGCCATGTAGGTACATGGACCCTTAGTGGTCTGAATCATTGATGGCACCCCTCTGTGTCAAACAGGCCGGCGTGGCGAGACGTGTCTTTGCCTTAGGAAGGAAAGTTTCGAGTTTAGAGCCCTTGGTTGTGGGCTGAACCCCTAAAGGGAACTCCAGAAAGTTGGAATATGGTTTCAGGGTAGGATACCTTATAATTTACCATAAAGGGTTTAGGATAATCATATTCCAACTTTCTGGCTTTTATTTTAAGCCTGTAGACCCTAAGCCCCAAAAACCCAAAGCTGAGCCCAGAAACTCCAAAGCAGCATAAAGCAACTGCTTTCAGCATGGTTTTGTGGTGTCTTTTCAAGACTTCAGCAGGAATAAACCTTAAATTAAATCACATTCACGGTCCCTGTCTCTATCAAGGTAGTAGATTACTGAAGTAGGCGTTTTGGAGTCTCTGGTAGTCTTCCGTGAGACGGGGACTGTAACACCCATACCAAAACATATAAACACTCTGCAGTCACCCTAGAAAGCTCTACAAAGCCCCTTATAAACAAGCAAGGATTTCTCCTACAAAACAAGCCAAGACAGCTACATAAACTCTTAGCAAATTGATACGTGGCGTGCAATCCAAAAACGGTTGCTGCTCATAGGCCCCGCTTGGAAGTCAAGCCAGTAGCTCTGAGAATATCTACCCGAATACCCAGAACATGTTAAAGTGCCCCACTAACCCCTTAATGATAAGGGTACCCTTTTTCCGGGTATTCGGATTTGATAAGGAGACCCCAACATAAAAAGAGCAAATGGGTAATACTGGGGAACCTAGCATGTTAAAGTGTAGAGTGTAGAGTTTGGCCCTTCAGGGTTTCACGGCTTCAGTTTCTTCAAGGTTTACGTCCGTACGCAATAGGTAGATGAGCCTGATCCATCCGAAATCCGATGCACTAGAAAAGGCTGTCTGTCCAGGGCCCAAGTACCCAAACATTTGGGTTAGAACATGATGAACCAAAGCCCGCTTAGAGTAGGGTCAGTAGGGTACGTGGACCCTCTGGGTGTGGAATACTGGACGTACTATCAAAGGTAAAGGGTCTTACTTAAGCGACCTACTCATCGTAGGGGATGCTGGACCCCAAACCTAAACCCCTACACCCCTAAACAATCAATCGTGGCATCGTGCCGAAACCTTCCAACCCTTCATCCCAAACCCTAAACCCTAACCCTGCAACTACCAAAACCATCTAGGACCCAACAAGATCCTTGTGAAATCCGACAGTCTAAGGGCCCGCAGCCCTGCGCCGGTTGGGAGCTTGGAGTCCTACTTGTCGGGTATCATGGGGAACTAAAGGTTAACCTTTTTTTGGTTGTATAGGAACGATAATTGGACTTTACTACCCAAATAAGGTTATAGGTTACCTACTCTACTACTACTGTAGGGGGTTTAGCGTTTTTAGGGCACGGGGTTTAAGGTTCACTCAGGATTTTAGCATGCTTCGATCGGGGTTCTGTTGAGGGCTTCTATACATCTTAGTCTTCTTTGAATACTTCCGGCCTCGGGGCTTTGAAACAGGGTTTAGGGTTCTCGGGTTAGGGTTTCTTTAAGGGTTCCTTTTAAAAAGGAACCTCTTGGGTTTACCTATTTCTTTAAGAGTTCTATTACAAGACCCAAGAGTATCCCAGGAAGAAAAAGGATGCCCTGTTTGGTTTAAAGGGGGTTATATGGGAACCTGAACCCTGAAAAAGTGAATAAGGGACCACTCTAGGTCCTAGGAATCGTGTTTGATGTAGGAACCTGATTAAGAAACCCTGGGCCCATAATCCCAAACGACTGGGATTCATACAAGGAACCCTACTAAAGGCCCAAGGTTTCTTAATCATTATTCTAGTACCCTTATAGATCCCTTATAGTACCCCTTATTAGACCCCCTTAAAGGAACCCTCATAAAGACCCAAGGTGTCTTAATCAGGTTCCTACATTAGCACCCAGGATTTCGACTTCCAGGGTCAGGACCCAAGGAACCCTGCCCTTAAAGGAGCCCTTAAAAGAGCCCTTAAAGGATCCCTTAAAGGATCCCGTAAAGGAGCCCTTAAAGGATCCCTTGAAGGAACCCTCAAGGAGCTGCATGGTTTCGGGCTTCGGGCTTTGAGCAATGCTTGAACACCCAACGGCTAAAGCCCTGCGCTGCAACGACCATGCAAACCCTAAGAGCATGAAATATAGGGGCCTTCATAATAAGAATAGGGCTTTGGGGGGGGAGGGGCGGGAAATTATACCATCATTATAAGAAGGAGCCCCCAAAATAGTATTGGTAATTACTTAGGCTCCTATAGTAAAGCTTTGTAAAGACGCCCAAACGTCCCGGGCATCTGGCATCCCAGCCACCACAGGTTTCAGCCCGTGGTGATCAAGTATCCTCGGCATGATATGGCAAGGACTTGAAAGCCTCCAAAAGCATTCCTAGGGTTTTGGGGCCCATTATACTATAACTATAATAAGGAACCCCAAAATTAGTACGTATAGGTAATCATTAGGGCCCCTATATGTTGTACGCAGTGACTGGTTAGGGTTTAGGGCAATTGGGCTTAGGATTTGGGTTCGCAGATACGGTGACGGATACGACATGAATGAAGCTGCTACCAGACATGGTAACAACAGCAGACCAAGAGCATTGTCAACAATAGCGCCACGGTACAGTGAGGAGTCCAAATGCAGCCGCTACGACAGCAGCAAAATGCAGCAGTAACACTAGCGCCGATAGGAGCAACAAAGCTAGAAGGCCTAACATTGCAATGGTGAGCAGGGTCATACTACTCCTCGATGATTACAAGATCCGTCCTAGTTGACAGCGATACCAAGCGCACTGTGCTATGACCACTAACGATCCAAATCCATTTGAATCCTGAAACCTCGATACAAACTCCCTACAAGCCGAGCAACGAAAGGCAGTGAGCGGCTGCGGGAAACGAGCAAAAACGGAGCGGATTCGGGACGTTCTGTCTATCCTAAGAGCGGCTTCAAATCCCTGAAAGCCTGAGCCCCAACTGAGTCTCAATTGTTGAAGAAGACCCGCAGACCTCAAACCCCAAAACCCTAGTCAAAACACCATCCCCCCTTTATAGAACCCTTATATTTCCCTTTAAGAAACCCTTTGAAGAACCCTAAGCCCAACACCCTAAAACCCGACCCCCTTTATAGAACCCTTATAGATCCCTTTAAGAACCCACAACCCTCAAACCCCAGAATCCAGAGGTAGGGATCCTCGTGAAGACCGAACCCTGAACCCTAAAAACCAAAGCAAACTGAACCCTACGGTTGATGATATAAATCTGCATTACCCATAATAAGGAATATACCATGATTCCCATAGTTTAGGGTCCTTAAGGTCATGCAGGATTCATATCATCAAAAATAAAGCCTGAAACCTAAACCGTGAACTCAAAGCCGTGAACTCTAAACCTAAACCATAAGCTCACCACGTAGCTATGAAAACTTACCCCAAACCTTAAATCCCCTGAGCCTCAAACCCCAAACCCCCAAACCCAGAACCCCCAAACCCTAAACCCGAAACGAGGGGCCAAGGCCCCGGAAGATAGCAGTCTAGTAGTAACCCCTTACAGCCTCATTGTAACCCTTAAAGGAACCTTTAAAAGTACCCCAGCCTACCCTAAACCCTAATTAAACCCTGACAACCCTAAACCCTCAAAACCTCAACAACCCAAAAAAACACGCCCTAAAAGCCTTAAATCCTGAACCCTAAACCCTAAAAACCCCTAAACCCTAAACCTTAAACCCTAAAAACCCCTAAACCCTAAAGCCCTAAACCCAAAACAGGGGCCCAAGCCCTTGCAGATGTCGCGCGTCGTCGTGGCCCCAGTCTCCAAGGAGACGGCAGCCCAGGCGCTGGACCTTCGGGTGCTTTTTAAAGGAGGGATCCTTTAAGGGTCCCTTTAAAGGGATCTATAGCGATTCTATAAGGGTATAGGGTTTAGGGTTTAGAGTCTAGAGGTTTGGGGGTTTAGGGGGTTTAGGGGAAAAGGAAGGACCCTTAATAGGGACCCCTACCCTGTAATGGGCTATATAATGGGTATATCACAGCTATATTAAGGGTATATACCTAGGGGTCCTTCTTCAAGGTCCCTCCTTTTACCCTTGGAGGGTTGGGGCTTTCAGGGGTTAGGGACTATAGGTTCCTTTTTTGGGGTCTACAACCTCTACTATTTGCTTAAGAACCCCCCAAAAAATAAAAAATATATTCCTTATGGGGGTAATATAGGGATTATTATTTTTATTTTTTTTGGTGTTTCTTAAGCAAATAGTAGACCTTCGAGTGTGTCTTGAAGGCTTGCGGTATTGAGGGCATTAAACCACATGGCTCTTGCGGCTATAATTAGAGTAGTCTCGGGCTATGCTATACTGCAATGATAACATGGAGCCGTTTCAGGTTTACATGTTAGAGTTCTGAAGGATTTTGGGCGGATGCATAGAACGCGCTTAGGTTTTAGGCTCTCAAGGGGCTCAGGGAAGTGTCATTAAGGTTTAGGACCTGCGGTGCCTTAGCACTCTTGCTGCTTCTGGCTTTTAATGGTGGCTTGAGGGTTCTGGAAGGGTTCATTGAGCATTCTGCAGGTTCCATAAGGTTCTAGCGTCCTGCTGCATGCCACCAAAAGTCGCCGAACCTGTTGCACGACCAGACACTCACGGTCTTTGCCGCGGGCGGCCCTGCACCAGCATCGCTCCCGCTGGGGGAGGCTGCCTGGCAAGTCTCAGAAGCAGAAACCAAATCAAGATCAGGGCAGGGAAAGGCCTTTGCCGGCCCTGCACCAGGCGAGGACGCCTGGTCAGTTTCAGAATCAACATCGTCTCACCTACCGGACCTCCGACTCTGCTGCGGTCCGGCGGTCTTCCTCAGCAAAAGGAAACCAATCAGCTTTCGTCACAAAGGTTTGCCATCCTCGTCGAATAGTCGTCTGCTTTTTACCCGAGCCACATGACGCTCCCACCGTCTTTCCACTCCTTATTATCCCTAGACTCTACACTCTAAACCCTAAGGGTGTTTTTTCGGCTACAAGCGAAGCCTAACCTCTGACATTACAAGAACCGTCACACCTATAGCCACAACGCCAGAATCTGCGTCCAAAAGCCCTAAAGCGCTCACTAAAACGTTTCAAGTTCTGGGCTTAGGGTTAAAATCTAGAGTTTAGGGTTTTGGGCCTATGCAGCCCGAAAAAGCTGCTAATCAAGGCTTACACAAGCCATGCTCGCTCAAAGTTCGTGCTTCTACTATGTTTGGGTGCTTGCTCGGCCTCTCCTTTTCTCCCCAGTCGTCGCCCCTGTTGTCGTCTGCTGACTAAGCCAGCTCCCTATCTTGATGCTTCGTCTTGCAGGATCACCCGCTAATGCCGTGCTTGGAGTGCTTTAATCATAACAGACGATGCATCCTACCCTGCTACACGCCTTCTCTTGGAAGGCCGACCATCCCCAGTGGCTGACGTAGCTGACGTCAGCCAGCACCATACAATATAAAAAGCTTGTGCCTCACTCCGCAAATTTGCAGAGATCGACTTCAGAGACTTTTTGCGACGATCGTAGGACTCGCGAGGGAGATCAGGATTGTATGATGCTGCACAGCTGTTCCTCGGTTAATTTACTTACTAGAAACAAAGTCTGCTCCATCAAGACTGCGGCAAACCGCTTATCTGCATGCAAACACGAGTCTTGCCATCCACCATTTGTCCCGCCTGAAGCCTGCCTTGAAAGTGTGGCAGCGTGCGATTCGAGTGGACGACTTTGTTCATGAACGTTCCCGGAGGCAAAGGCATAAGGCGTAGCAGGTCTGGTGGCAATGCCGTCGTTGCCGATAGCATGGCCCGAGATGCTCTTGATGCCTCCTCAGCTTGTCCACCGGCAGCAGGAAGCGCCTCCTGTCCAGCCGGCTCCTTTCCCACCTTGGATGGTTGGCAGAAACACCAATAGTACTGACTCTTTGCACAGTCTTAAAAACATGTGTTAGACAGATCTAGAAACTGTCTCCTCTTCCTCCTCCTCCTCGTCTTGCCCTTGCAAGAGCTCTCTGCAAGCCCTTGCTGCGGGATCGTCTTCGAGCTCCTCCCAGGTGATCTCTTCCTGGTTCGGGGCATGCATTGAGAAGCTTACTGTCACCCAAGAACGACAAACAGAAGTGTCATCAAAATGCGTTGTTTAGGCCCGCCTCATCCTTGGCAGGGTCCGCCGCCTGCTGCTTGTCGTCCTGCTTCGCTTTTCTTTTCTCCTCCTGCTGCTCCAAGGCTTTCAGAATGCGGTCGATGCTGGCTTGCGAGCACTCTTGCTTCACAGCATCCAAGGTCAAGATCTTTCTGATTCGCTGAGCTTTCGTAGCATTTTTGAGCATCTTGATGCCCATGCTGTCCAAGATATCAATCAAGGAGCTCACTCGCGCTTTCAAGATGCCACCTTTCTCCACCAGCCATCCAAGCAAAGAAAACTCTCGGCTTCCTCTCCTCAGCAGCAGGTTGTTGCCACACTTCGTCTCGAGGATCTGACCGGCCACATGGAGAGTGTAATCGAAAATTTTCACCTCGGATAAGTTTGTCGATGTGAGTGTTTCCAAAGAAACTTCGCCGGGGGGCCTCTTCCATCGAAATCAGAAGCTTCGAAACCAGGCTCCTGGAATCGTTTTCAGAAAGATATGTCGAGACGGTGCACTTACACAGCATGACAATCGACACCCGGCCTTCCGATCTTCAGCGTCAAAGCTTTCGTGGACTCCCCCTCGCACAGCGGATCTTCGAAACTATCCTGCTTGGAGTCGTTGGCCGGGATTCTTGTCTCGTCCGCCTCCTCCTTCGGGAGCCCACCTGCGAATTTGTACGGCAGCTCCTCGAGCCGGACAACCTCACGAGAGAAACCGCACGACAGAAGGATGGGTTTATAATATCCATCCAGTGCAAATCGCAGCTTTACCTGCTGATTATGGTATCGCAAGGCACGTACAGCATAGCCGGTGTTCGTCCTGTTGACAGGTAGTAGACATCGTTCTGCCGGAGGAGTGTGGCAGCACTGAACACATCGGGAACCCAGAAGTTCTCGGCAGCACTCATCGGCTCTCTGCCAAGCCTGAGCATATTGTTTGAAAACACATGATTTGAGAATTCGCTGCCTGCTTCCTGCCACCAACAGAACACACACCTATGCGGTCACTTGCGTTTGTGGGTTTGTTCAGTCTCTCGCACTATCTATCTCTCTCTCTCTCTCCCTATCTCTCTTTACCTCTCTCTGCTGACTATGTCTTTGGTCCCTGTCATCGTCTTTGCCAAAGAGCGAGTTCGCAGCCAGTAGCCCCGCCATGTAATTGCAGCAATGGTTCTGGTGATGGAAGGCCGAGGTGCTGGGAAAAGGTTTGACGATGTTCTCGAAGGACACATTCTGGCCTGCTCATCAAAACATTACAAGCGTGCAGGGAGAGGGAAAAAGAGGGAGATAAAAAAATGCAAAAAGCAAAACACGATCACGATCTGCGTGCAGCCCTTATTCTTGCACCGAGGCACACGGGAGGGCGGAGGAGGGATGGAAAATCTTGCTTTTCAATCCTGACACCTGGGGGCCGGTCCAATCATCTTTCTCAAGCTTCAAAGCCGCAGGTGCATCCTCTTGGATAGAAATACGACGAACCAAGCCTCTGATGCCGACACTCATGAGGTTGGCCAAAGAGCCCACATCAGCCTGTCCACTTCTCTTCGTAGCCGATGACATCTCAGAAAACAGAGATTCGATGTTGCTTGACCATGCAAATTCCGGGAACCAACTTGTCATGATGCCAGCTGCCTCTTCATGCTCGTTCCATCCATGCTTCTCCCAAGCTGTCATGACTTCCCTGTAGTTTTGGAAAAGCGTGTAGCCACAGTGTTGCTGAAGCTGGGCAGCCGATGTTGGGCTGGCCTCCAAACTCAAGATCATCACCCATTCGGCCTGGAGTTCTTTCAGGACTCGGGCCTTTGTTGCGGGGTCATCGGCTGGGGCGATGAGGCAGGCAGCCTTCCAGGGAGCCGTTCTCAGGTAGAGGTGGTGCTGTTCAAGCTCGTGCACCACCGCCAAGTACATACCCAGGGCTTCGCTCAAAATGATTCGAGAAGCAGAGTCCCGAAAAAATTTGATGTCCAGAACCTGCCCCAAGGAATCAGAAAGGAATTGGCAGCATGGTGCTCTTGATGCTACATAGTAATATAAACAATAACAAAAGGGTCTCGTCTCTCCTGTGGTATTGTTGTTGTTGTCGTCGTCTTCTGTCCTTTCCTCACTTGCTTCTACGATGCTGATAGCTTGCGGAAATTATGCTTGCTGCTACTACTACTACTACTACTACTACTACTGCTGCTGCTGCTACTACTACTACAACTACTATTATTACTACTACTACTACTACTACTATTACTACGACTACTATTACTATTACTACTACCACCGCGGCAAGTACTACTTCGATCCCTCCGGCTGCTCCTGCTGTTCTTGCGACTGGTACCGAGGGTGGATAGTTTCGTAAAGATGTGTGCTTCTATTCAAGCCTCGACAACGTCAATAGCAATTGCAGTGGAGCGGTGAAATGCCTAGTGCGAGCAGTAGCACTAGCAGCAGCAGCGAAGTACCACTCAGGGCTGTCATAGTAGTAGCAGTAGTACTGCCTGTGCAAGCAGCAGAAGGAGCAGCAGGAGCAGTAGTAGTAGGGGAGTAGGAGCAGGGGTAAGTGGGGGTAGGGGCAGGGCTCGGGGTCGGAGTACTACTGGCGGTGGTAGGAGCAGCAGGAGGAGTAGTTGCAGGAGTGGCAGCAGCACGACTAGGCAACACAACTAGAACTATGAGTACATAGTAGTAGCGGTGGAACTAGCAGTAGGAGCAGGGGTACTAGGAGTAGTAGTAGTAGTAGTGGTGGTGGCGGTGGTAGTACGGCACCTGAAGTACCAGTAGTTGTTCCAGCTGTACTCGTTGTACTAAATATAGTACTGAGTAGCAGAACAGCGGCAGCAGAAGCCAGAGTTTATTCGTCCTGGTATCAGTAGGACAACAGGGGTCATTGTGCAAGGGGGGGCAGAAGTAGTCGTAGCAGTCTTCACGGTCATCGTGGTCGTGGTGGCCTTGGCATCGGAAGTTTTTTTGGTGGTACTGGTGATTTTGGTCTTTGCCTGCTGCTGTCTTGTCAGTATTCATAGTAGTAGCAGCAACAGCAACAGCAGGAGGAGTAGTAGTAATAGCGGTAGTTGTGCCAGTAGTATTACTCGTAGACGTAACAGAGTAGTTACTGCAGAGTAGCAGTAGGAGGAGCGGTAGTGGTACTAGTTCTACTATTAGTAGTAGTAGCAGTAGTATGTAGCAGCAGCAGCCATAGGAGTTGTGCCTCTGTAGTTGCACAGATAATAGCACTAGTAGTGGTCGTAGCAGCAGCATCAGGCAAGGATTAGTCGTGGTAGTAGTAGTACTAGCAGTGGTAGTAGTAGTGGTAGCAGCAGTGGCAGTAGCAGTAGCAGTAGCAGTAGTTCCAGTAGGTACTAGTAGTAGTAGTAGTAGTAGTAGTAGTAGTAGTAGTAGTAGTAGTAGTAGTTGTAGTAGTAGTAGTAGTAGGAGCCGGTTGAAAGGACACTCAGCCGTTGAGGTATTTGTCGCTTAAAGGTGATCAGAGTGCTGTTTTGTGTCCTTCCTTCCAGGCTTGTAGTAGTAGTAGTAGTAGTAGTAGTAGTAGTAGTAGTAGTAGTCGTAGTAGTACTAGTAGTAGTAGTAGTAGTAGCAGTAGTAGTAGTAGTAGTAGTAGTAGTAGTAGCAGTGGTTGTAGTAGTAGTAGTAGTAGTAGTAGTAGTAGTAGTAGTAGTAGTAGTAGTAGTAGTAGTAGTAGTAATAGTAGTAGTAGCAGTAGTAGTAGTCGTAGTAGCAGTAGTAGTAACAGCAGCAGTAGGAACAGGCCTGGTAGGTGGTAGCAAAAGTAGTCGGGGTCTCAGCTGTGCCGTTTGGGAGATACATAAGACAAACTCAGGCGGGTCACGGGCCTTTGGGGCTGGGATGGTTTGGTGCTTAGTTGGTAGGGCTGGTTTCAGAATTGAAGGTTCGCACCATAGTCTGCATTGACTCTTATTTGTTATCATCTCATGAACACCTTCAGTTGTTCGTAGGGTTCAGGGTTAGGGTCTGATATGGCTTGATTGAGTTGCCGCCTCCAGCTGCGTGCACGAGTCAATGCGGCACTGACACCGTCATCCTGATAATCAGGTAACTATTATAATATTGACTAGACCACGGAATCTTAACCTCAGATCACCGGTATGTTGCCTCTCCGCTCGGCGCCGCGATGTCGGGCGGCATATCCAAGCACTTGCAGGAGAAGCATTCAGTCGCGAGTTTTGATAGCCGCATCTCCAACTCGTTCGTGTTGGCTTCAAGCGTGAATTTGTGCAGGGCCATCTTCTTGCTCTGCTCTTGTTGCTTAGATAGGTTGGTATATGCAGACGGTGTGCACTGATTTCTGCCTGGCCCCTTCCCCTTGATGCAGCTGAGTCACAAGATGCACACACATCTCCTTGAAAGGAGCCACCACACGGCGGCCGAAGAGGAAGAGGCCGAAGAGCACCTCGTCCATCAAAGCCTGCCCAAAGCTTCAGTCGAGCAAGAAGTTATTTAGATGTATTGAACGTCAAATGCATCTACGTTAAGCAGCCAGTCCTTCACACACGTGTCCACGGTTTTGTCGTAGCTCTGGTTCGATGAAGCACCAGATTGCAGGATCTGAAAAGGGTTTTTCCCAACCTGCTGGCAGTCTTGGCCCATGCGTGCGGGGTTTGGGGTTTGGGGTTTTGGGTTTGGGGTTTGGGGTTTGGGGTGGGCTTGTGCTATTGTTTGATTTGACTGATTGCTCTTCAGGTTCGATGACAACAAAGCCAAGCATAGCCTCCATGGAACTCCACAGGATCAGCAACAAAGTGCAAGTCATCTGGAATTTGGCAGCCGTGTGGGCCCAGCTGCACCATCGAGACCAGGAGAAGGATTCACTGTTGTACCTTACATACTGATGAACACCAGCCTACGGGTGAGAAGTTCTGCAATGGGTTCTGTTTTCAAGCCGGGACTCTTGATCGTTTTGCCGAGGATCTCCACAACCCTCGCGAAGTTCAAGCTGGCATCTGTCGTGCACGGCAATCCGTTCCTTGGCTGGTAAAATTCGAACCAGTTAAGAATACTATCGGAGGCAAGAACTTGTCATTGCAAATTCCAACGAGTGTCTCTTTGAGGATGTCCCGACTGAAAAGCTCCATGAGCACGTCGTCCTTTTCAGCCTCAGACAGGCAATTGTTAGATTGTGTCGTAACAACTACAGACTGATCTTATGATTCTAGAGCGGGCGAATAATTACCAGACAAGCAACAACCTGCAAGTATCTCTCACCGGCTTCTTTCAAGGTGGAAGCGAAGGCACATGTGCCCCAAGGCGATTTTTTGGCCCGGAACAACCATCCACTCAGCATAGTCATTCCTGAGATGGGTGGTATCCATGCGTGGGAAACAGCAAGCTGAAATGCCGAGGGGCTTTTCACGATTGGGCTGCATGAGGTCGCACGGCCCTGGTGTGCGTGCAGTTTGTGCCTAAGTTCAGGGTTGACAAACATGGTTTAAGTTTAGGGTTTAGGGTTTAGGGTTTAGGGTTTAGTGTTCGTGGGGATGGGTGGGACTGCAGTCAGTCACTGTCACTGAAATTTAATATTAGTCCGGTCGCAACTCGTCTCGGATCAGTGTGATGCTCGCCCCATGCCCTGCTAGGTACTGGTAACAGCTGTAAAGTGGGCTGCCTTGGTCAGCCCCCATGACCAAGCGAACATGTTCCGAGTCGTCTGCGAGGCTGTCCCACCTGCAAGCCCCGGAGCTGTCGATCACAAAGGCAATGCTCATGTTGTCGACGGTGTGCAGAATTCTCATCTCGCCGTCCCCATTGACGGGTGCCAAAGGGCAGGAACCCCAAATCTGGTCTAGGCTGAACCCGACGTGGCCAAGAATATTGCCAAGGGCCTTCAGCTCCTGCTTCGCTGCGAGCTTCTCTTCTTTCAATGCTCCCAGAGCCTTCGGCCTGAGTTTGCAGAACACGATTGAAAACAACAGTGAGTGAATTGCCAAATTATCGCGATCGCTTCTGTGTCTGTATAATTCCTGCGAGACACAGCTTCTTTTTGTCCTGAGGATTCTTCGTCTGGGCCAAGCTGTTGGCTTCTGTGACCGCGGCAGCTGCTGCCATCTTCTCTGATGCAGGGGCACTCGAAGGCAACAGAGTGCTGAGGCGTTGAAGGGTGCCCACCGAGATTTGACCAGGCAAAGCAAATACCGGAAGCCATACCTCGAGAACTAAGCTAAATCCAACTAGGCTATTTGTCCTTGAAGGAAAGGGAAGCTTTTAGTCATGTTCCATCTGCCGGCAAGAATCCTCCAGTTTGGCTTTTGGCGAAGCATCACAGATAATCGTCAGCGATTTGTGTCTCAGACCACTGAGGACCTGTCAACATTATTATTAGGATTGTTTAGATCTAACTAACTGGTTTGGGCGTGCAGGGACAATGGCCTCGGACATCGTGGTCTCTGTTTTCCGAATGTATCTCGTGACAAAATCTGCGGTTGTCCTCGCATAGCTGTTGTGAATTGCAGCCACGGAGAAAGAGTGAAGCTTGAGCTTTCATGCGGCCCTAGTCAGTCCTGCAATAATTCGCCGGGCAGAGGTCCTCAAGGCCCACCTCTTTCAGAGTAGCATCTGCCGAGCCGCAGCAGAAGCCACCGCCCCTTGCCAGGAATCGGTCAATGGCGAGCTCGTTTCGCGGCTTGCATTCCAGCCGCAACTTTCTGCCGTCCCTGCCACTGGATTCTTGTTGTAACTCGGAACAAAACAGAAACTTCCCAAGCAAATAGCCGAGGGTTGCACTTCGTAGCCGGATGGAACTTGTGGTTGCTGGAGACTGCAGGCAGTATGTCCGTAGTGAGGTTCTCGACTGCTTGCTCTGCCTCTTGGGCCAAGATATGAATCAGTCGCCGCTGGATGCGACCGAAGCTGTGTCGTGAATCCTCGCTTGCCAGGGAAATTCCACTTGAGATGCAAAGGTGCTGCAAAGGTCTCTACGGAGTCTAGTGTTGCTGGTGATGTCCTGCAATTTGTCCGCGTGGGGCTGCCTGAGCAGGAACCAGACCACGACGGGGAGTCGGAGTCCTCAGAGACAATCAGTTAGATCATTCCTCCCTGAAAAAAACAGTCTGGGCCTGTGTCCACACATTGCTCCTCTTTGCTGAGAACTTTGCAATGTTGCCACCTGCGTGCCATGGAGACCCCTAAACCGTAGACTATAAGAACTCCACAGCGATAATATTTTTCAAGTATCCTATTGATTTCGGATAATCTACATAGAACATTGCCCCCTGGTCCCACCTGGCTTTCAGACCAGAAAACTTGAGGAAGGCGGTCCAGGATGCCAAAGAAACATAGCCGTCGTGTACATGGAGCAAACCTTAAACTCTGAAAGATCAAGGGACTCCTGCATTCAGCACCTAGGTTATGCAGTTATGCATGCACTAGCAAGAGTGTTTGATTGCCGCCTAGAAACAATCCTCTTCTTTGGGGACCAATTGAACTTCGAAGGAGCCCGTCAGTGCTGTCCCCAATATCACATCCAAGGTCTTCAAAGCACTTTTCTGGATATCGGGTTTGCAGCCACGGCTCTGCAACACGTACGACGTCTTGGCTTGGCCGCATTATTTTAGTAGGGGGTGGAGCATGTTTCGGGTTTGGCGGATAATAAATAAAGGCTCACGAGGCCTCGCGTCTGCAAGGTTAGTCTATTCAGGGTTCAGGGATTAGGGTTTCTTTCTAGTCATATTAGTTATTAGATTATCGCTGTAAAAAATTAGTCTTAGATTAGGCCCCACTTGGATTCGGCAGGGTGTCCAAGAAGATCGCAGCCGGATAGGTAAGCCCATCGAAGGGCAAGCGAAGGCGTTCTGCCCCCACTTTGCTTGGAGAGCCTCTGTAACCTTTCTTCCGGATCATATGAACATTGAGGTTGATTCGCCAGGCCTCGGCGCAATCTTGACCCAGCCCGTCTAACCTCGGATTCATGAATCAGACATGCTAGCTGTGTACAAACTATACTTCGAACAATCGGTAGCAACTGTGCTGCTGCGTGGAAGCATCTTCGAGAAGAAATTTGAGAATTGCTGATGGCGTCCGCCCAATGACCATATTTCTTCTGCCCGGAAGAGCATCGTGTAGCCCTCGACGTCCTGGTGTACCTGTTGAATTCTGATAACAGACATTCTATGGAACATCCTCTAAAACCCAATGCGAGAGGTTATCACTTTAAAATGAAGAACCGGCTGCCTTGTGAAGTTGCAGCACCCCTCGAACAGCTCTCTCACAGGGCAGGTACAAGGTCTCGAATTTGTCGTACCGCTCAGCAGACTCAGGATCGGGGCAGCTGTCTGCGGCCTCCTCGTTCCTCCTGCCATCGTCGCCGTCTCCTTGCTGCTGCTGCCGAAAGAGTCTTGGCCGAAGGAAGAGACCCAAGCTCGCAGCTCGAGGCCGAAGCTCTTTCATGGCATCCTGCCCAGACAAACGACAGGGATCATGATTCATGACCAAACCATTGCAAACACAACTGGACTGTAGCCTGCCTCCCAAGTAGACCTGGTGAATGTTAGATTGCCCAAAGGCAGCTGCTTCCAGAAGCATCCATCCACATATTGAATCCTTTTCATAATTCCCATCCTCAATTCATCTCTCTGCACACCATCTGATAACCTCAGTAGCGAGCGAGCACGTAGAAATTTGAGCGAGCACGTTCAGGTTGAGCGAGCACGTTAGAGCGGCAGGGGCCGGAATGAGTGCAACCCAGCAACTGGAGAATCGCCTCCAGTCTCCCTTGGAGCCACTGCAGGGCGGCCATGACAACCTCAGTGCTCGCTCGTGGCCGCGGTGCTCCCAACACGTTTGCGTTGTTCCGGTGCGGCGACAAGGGCGACAGAAAATTATTAGCGAGCACGCATTCCAGTAGAGGGCTGGATTTCGAGCGAGCACGCTCATTCCTTGGCGCTTCACCATTTAACAGCGATTGCTTGGGTTTAACATAAATGGTTGCTCGCTCAAGTTTTTCGTTCGCCCACGTAGCGGCACATGCCCGAAAAAAAATTTTTGAGCGAGCACGTACACACCAGCGAGCACGTTGAGCAGCGAGCCAGCACGTATGGCAGCAGCGAGCACGTAGCAGTCCGAGCGAGCACGTATCCAGTCCGAGCGAGCACGTATTCAGTCATCAAAATAGCAAAAAACCCCGCCTGCCTTTTAAACTCTCTTAGCAACACCTGGCCCCAAACCGACCCCATCAGCCGAGGAGCTTCGCCGGCTGGGCGAGGTGGTGGATGGCTCTGCGGGGACAGCTCCCAGGTCAGCGTATCTATAAGTGTTTCGGACAAGTGATCTTTGGAGTTGGGTGTTCTACTGAATAGCCAGCTAATGGCTTCATTATGCCCCGTAACACACACAAAGCTCAATGCTTCATTCCTTAATGTAAGAAATCTTAAGTCCTGGCAACGATACAACTCAGAAAAGCTTTGCTTTGCATGTGTTCCTGGGCGTGCCTCTCTGGTCTAGTCCGGATTTAGGGTTTAGGGTTTAGGCTTGGGATGTCAATCACAAAATGATTCTGGGGATAGGTTTTGTTTTGGTATAAACATAGGAGACTACTTACTGTTCAATACATGTCATCGAGGCATGAGAAGCAAGTCTTCTCAGTGATGCCGTCACCCTGTTCTTGCTTCTTTCAGAAGTAGAGCCGATACCTGCCATATGAATGGAGGGGATAGCAAAGACCAGTGGTCCAGGGAGAAAGAATCCCAGAACGGAAGGCTGAGGGGAAGCGGCTTAGGGCTAGGGCTTAGGGTATAAATTATTGGGTTTATTTGGGCTACTAAGTATTGAACTGAAAAGGCTAATTCATTTTTCAGGTCTAGGGCATGTTTGTCTGGTACGAATGAAAGCCAGAGCTTGGGTCGGTTCGTGAAGTTTCCGTGGCAACCTAGAATCCCCTTTCCTGGACTTCTTCTGTGGGTCAGAGGCTATCTCTGAAAAAGTTCTTACGAAATCAAGAACTTCAGGCGTGCTTTGTATATTAAAACCCAATGCATCAGAAGTCTGTGACCCCAGGACCTCCAGACAAGCCACAAACCTGAAATACCGAAACCCCACCAAAATCCAGCACCGTCGCCCAAGAACAAAACCAAACTGGAACCCCTCTCATTAGCCCCAAAACCCTGGCCCCAAACAATCAAAGCCCGGGCCCCGGAATAGGCTTCAAAGTTCTGCTTGAGGCAGGCACACTCTCAACCGGGGTTGGTGATTTTTAAGGTCGGGAGTTTAGGTTGCTAGGGCTGATACTGAATTTGGGGCTGGAGGCTAGGTGTAGTTAGTGGTTTAAGTCTTCGTATTTCTGGCTACTGAGTGTTGCAGCAGGCAACGAATGTGAGCACCATCAAGTTTTGCACGAACAGTCGCTGAAGCTGGGGAGTCGATCGGGAACAGCGAAACCCCTTGGTTTGCTCTTTGCCCACGGTGCTGCTCTAGTCTAGTGTAGTGTGAAGTACGGTCAGAGGAGACTTATTATTACACCCCGAAAACCCTAGACTACAGCCATTGCATATCGAAATAGAGCAGCATGTTCCAAAACGGCAACCACAGAAGCCCTTGCAGCTCAGGTTGACTTCGGCTTCATTCCCGAGGGCTTTCTGGATGGCGTCTCGAGCGGAGGCTCCTTGTGGCTTCTTGGAACATAATTCGGAGTAGCGGCCTTTAAGAAAGCAGCCGAACCATTGAGACAAGCAGCTTCCTTGGTCGTGCTTGTCAGAGAAGCCCCCCATACATCGAATTGGGTCTTTGCTTTCAAAGACAACTTCGAGAAGTACGGCTTGGATGTCTCCAGGTAGGAGGATAAGGCACCTGAGGCGGGGCATACAGTCAAGCGAAAGAATGAAACCAAGCAGCAATCCAAACCAACAAGTGGAATGCAGCTTGGTACCATTCAGCGGCTTCAGCGCTTCAAAATCCTCTAGCTTCAAGAGCTTCTCCTTGAGCAGCACCCGATACCAGTTCGAGAAATCTGGCCTCGGCTATGAGATGTTTTGTTTTGAATGCACGAACTGAGCAATTACATGGCGTGCAGACAAAGCTCATCGACAGATCCGATGGCAAGGACTTCAAGACAGCATCCTCAAACTCATCCTTCGCGGCCACAAGTCTGGCCGGCAAGGAGCTCAACAGCTCCTCCAAACTGTGCCCCGTCTTCGAAGCAGCGAACTTGCCCCGGAAAACATCATTGTCACCATCGTCATCATCATCGCTTTCCTTCGGTTCCCCCTCCGGCTCTGAGAAGTCGTCGGAGTCGGGCAGCAGGGGGACATCGCCTGGCGATGCCTCCTCTTTATCCTCCTCGTCCTCCTCCTCCTCCTCCTCCTCCGGGTCACTGGGGCCCTCAGAGGCCTTCGCCTTTTTTTTCTTCGGCTCCGGGGGAACCTTCGCAGGCGGAGCCTCGGGTGTCCTCTTTTTCTTGTTTGTGCCGAGCATCTTCTTCAAATCTCCTTTGGCTTCCTCAATCAAAGAAGAATCAGCGAGTGCCCTGGAATCTAATTTACTTGTCCGAAACGTAATGCTGGGTGAGTCGCCTCGCGAAAAAGCTTCAGCTTGCTCTCCAGGGCGTCAGTCCAGGCTCGCTTTCCCCCGGTATACTTCCTCTAGAAACATGAAATGCAAAGATTGGCTTCTGAACTGATTTGCAATGTTCTAGTGGGGCTCCTCAAGAACCGCCGATGCAAGATGCGAACCGAGGCGGCACAGTCGTCCAGGGTCTTGGCATTGCACAGCGGCACAGACGACGACGGTCGCCCGGTGACTCGGCCAGACGGAAGCTTGGCACTTTGGGGTTTAAGGAGTTGGGGTTCAGGGTCTGAGGGTTTTTTTCAACTCAGGGTTTAGGCTATGAATTGGTGAGTAGTGAAGGGTTTACATTATTAATTCAATTTAACTCTCAACCCTGATCTTGCGTGTGAAGGCGTTGCTACTTTCGTGACACCGACACACCCCAGTCGGAGTAGCCAAGACCTGGAGGTTAGACACGACGAGCAATCCTAGCAGACAATTAATTAAGAACAACCCAACCTAAGAACCTTTCCCATTAATTGACTGATTAGGGTTCTATGTAGTTAGCACCATTCCGGGAGTAGATTGAGGATTTAATACGTACTTTCAGATTCATAGTAACTAGAGGATTCATGTTAATATCTTTTGTAGGAAGCTTTGTCATCAGTGATTAGTACTGAAACACCCAACAAACAAACCCGAATTTCTAAACCCTGAGCCGAAACCTTCAAGGTGTAACCCGTTTAAAGCAAGGGCGTCGGAGAAAAGGTGACCCTCCAAATCAGCAGCCAGCCCAGGCACAGTGCAACACCATGTCGGCGAGGCGGCGTTTCCACACCGTAGCCGCAGTTTGTGCCTTCGGGGATATTTAATTATAATTACCTAGTGAACCAAGAACCCCGGAATGGAGAGAATCGGGGTCAGGTCGGATTTCCTCTGGGGGACTTAGGGCCTAAGGGGGCGATTGCCTCGCAGCTTTGTGGGCCTCTCGATTGATTGGTGTCTGGTTCAAAACACAATCAGCAATGGCCACTCCTGCACGTCATAAGACTAAGTTTGCGTGAACAGTTTCACCGTTTCTGTTTACTACAGCTCAGACCTGTCTGGTAACAAAGAAGAGGCCTCGAACTTGGCGTCCGTCTGAGAAGCCTTGGCCTTCTGCTTTTTCATGGTCATCTCTCGGTCACGAAGCAGGCTTTCCTAAGTTTAAGGTTTAGGGTCAGGCTTAGCGCTTTCATTAAGTAATAGTGTAGTATTGCAAGCACACGAACAGACTCTGTGTCAATGCAAGTAACCAGCTCTCCCCCAATCTCGAAGGCATCCGAAGCAACCATTGAGGATGTAACGAAGCTGACTGTGTAAGCCAGCTGCCGTGCACCCAAATCGTCCAAGACCGTTGCATCGGGGGGCTTCACAAGATTTTTCTTATTCAAGCCATAGAGGCTCGCGGCATCCTCCATGTGGGCTTGCGATGCCGAGCTGGATGGCTCTTCTGCTGAGGAGCTGCTCTGGCTGCTGCTGGAGCCTCGGCTGCTACAATCATGCGGTCAGGGATGCTGTGAGTGCAGCCTAAACCAAAAGACGAGGGGCTGGATTTCTTGCCCTTCTTCTTCTTCTTTTTGCTGTCCTTCTTCTTTTTGTCCTTCTTTTTTTTCTTATTGTCCTTCGAGCCGCTTGCTTCGGCAGCTCCTGAGATTCTGTGAGCGAAAGGATCATTTGAAGAACAATGCCCCACACATACCAAACCCGGTATCTCGCAGCTAGGAGTCCACCGAAAGCATCGTTCAAGGATTTCCTCGCCGTGTTCATCATGAAAGCCCTCGCCGAATCAGCACCTGGAGGGGTCTCTGCTGCATCTCCGGCAACAGAACCAGTCAAGGACTTTGTCGAAGTAGTCCTGCCCGCAAAGCCACACACTCCCAAGCACCGTAGTTACACCACAGGACCCGTATAATATAATACAGCAGACAGCACATGCCAGACACCACACACCATACCCCAAGCAACCAAGAAAGCAGACCCACATTCGTGCAGACATCATATACATTGTTAGCAAAGAGAGCGACAGGAGAGAGGGAGAGAGACAGAGGCAGGTAGACAGACAAAGAGATGGAGGTACAAAGAGAAAAAAATATATATATATATATATATATATATATATAGATATATAGAGAGAGATTCGTGTGTATATATATATACACATATACATACTCACATGCACATATATATATATATACACATACGTGTATATATATATATATGCATGTATTTAGAACGTCAGAGGAGGAGGCAAAACAAATTTAAACAAGGCACAAGACAGAGGGGTACCGTATTTGTGTATATACAAATACACACATACACACGTACATGCACCAACCCATAAATGTCTAGATACATTCCTCTGGGTCTGTACAAAAGTATGTATATTTGTGTGCAGACGTATGCATACATTCGTGTATTTATTGTTGAACCATGTGCCTTATCTTTTGCTATTGAGTGTATATACATTCGAATCTTGTATACATATCTATGTATATATATATACTACGTATATATACATATGTCTCTATATATATATACATAGACACGTATACATACATATATATATATATATATATATGTATACACATACACATACACAAATTATATATACATACATATATAAATATATATAGACAGAAAGATAATGTGTGTTTAGCTGTCTACCAGAACAGCAGCAGTGCACACCTGCAAGCTATAAAGGATGCCGGCCTAGCCACGAGCACACAACCCTCCTCGTTCAACTATGTAAACCAGATCACCCGAGCCCCTTCCCTACCCTGTGGACAGAACCGTGTAATGTCGATGCAAGACATCGCTCTTTGCTTTGCCCGGCCGGAAGAAGCTTTTGGTTCAGGGTTTGGATTGCGGAGTGCTCGCGAGGAGTTTTGCAATCTAGTCCGAAGGGGTTTAACGACCCGGGGTTTGGAGCTTAGTCCAGCTGCTGTTGTATTTTCAGGTTTCACATGATTAGTTTTGTTATACAGTAGCTTTATAGATAATAATTAGTCAGTCCATCAACTAGTAAGTCTTCTGAGCCGCTGGGGCGCTATTGTTATCCAGGGTGGCCAGTGGTATCAGCAAGCTATCTGACATTATCTATTTGTTCTGAATAGCTGATTCAACGACTTATTCATCTAATTCTATTGAACAATACAAATAGTAGATAATCCGACGGCCCCATCAAAAAGAACTCTGATCCCCAAGAGCTGCCTCAGCCAAACTACATGAAACACTTGCTTGACAATTGCCCAAAAAGCCCAATCCCGAACCATAATAAATGCCCTGACTAATAACGTAGTGAAATTATTGTAATTCGGCCAAATCCCTCGACCCGAACGAGCACTAAGCCACCTAATCACCTTTAGTTATTTAAGTTTAATTAATTAATTAATAAAAATCCGCCCAGGACCACCTGAAGTACGACTACTGGTAAAACTTGCACACCCCCAAGCCTGCAGTTGCGGGGTTTGGGCGGCAATGTCCAGGCTTGAAGCTAGGCTTTGGCAAAGGGTCAAAGCCCAAAAGATCCACTAGGTACCGAAAATATGATCTCTTTACTACTAAAGACAAAACCCCAGCCACTACTAGTAGTAGTAGTAGTTGTTGTAGTAGTAGTGAATCCCGCCCAAGTCAGCCCGCCTTCTCAGGTTTCCTTTATCGATCTTCACCATTGGCAGCGATCCCCGATCGCTGGGCTTCCCAGGGAGGCAGGCGGATCCTAAAGGCCCCTGCTGCTTCTGATGCCGACAGGGATCCGAAGGATTGGGGTTGCACAGCAGTGTGATGCATTCCACAGGCACATGCGAGGACTTTGCAACATACTCTGGCAAGCTATGTGACTAGAGCATCACTGACGGACTCGACTGTCTATTCAAGCTGGTCTGCGTGACATGACATGCTGCTTGCAGTACCTGCTTACATTAGTGGTCAACTTTCACAGTAGCAGGCACAGATGCGTCGCAATCCCCCTCTTTTGAAGTGGAACCCCAGCTCCACCGAAGGAACGTGTTGCCAGCACCAGCGGCTCGCTGCCACTGCCTGGAGGGCTGTGCTTGGTGAGAGCACGACCAGAGCAATGTACCCATTAGGAGTCTAGGAGTCTAGCTTCTATCTTACCAGACCGAGTTTGTTTGGCCCAGTTTCGGCAACACGACATCATTCAGCTGCAGTAGCTAAGCTAAGTGATTGCACTTCAAAGTTTCCCGTATTCAGAAGCAACAGTATCAATGATGCAATCATGTTGTATCCTACTCTGAGATCTGAAACCTCTTTTCCCAATACTAGGTAACTAAGTACTTAATACTAGAAGGTAATAATAATGTAATCATAATTCCCACAAGCCCCGGATCCCTAAGCCCATCAAAACTGCCACCACGGCACATCAGTGCTGTGCACACCAATTAGATTGCAAAATCGCATCGATGTAAACCTGAGATATGGCAGCATCTGCGGCCAAAAAGGGTGTATCGTGCACCTGATGAAAGGGTCCCGAGGCATGCTGTGTCAAGGCAGCCGGTTGTGTCTTAAGCAATCCCAGCCACCCAGCAAATTGACACCCATAGTCCAATGTCATCAAGCCTTCCTCAGCACACTCTTCACTGGCAGCCCAAACTTGCTATTTAGGTTGATTGTCTGGCGCTTTCGGTGTAGGCTAGGGCTTTAAATTTAGACTTATATTATTTGTTATATGTATACATATATATCATGCTACGAATCTAGGTAGTTCGCAGGTTGATAATAATGACTAATAATTTAATATTAATATTACCGACGAAATGTCAACAACCCCTGCCCTGGAATGCCAGCAATCCATGCGAGCCACGAGGCCGAAGCATATGCAATGCCAGGAGCCGACATTGATTCATGCCGGCCACGAACGATAAAATCTTTGCATCGCCATATCATTGCTTGATGCCGCCATCTAGACGAGGAGTTCCCATCCCTGCGAGCGAAATGCAATGATACAGGACCACGGAGTCAAAGAGGATGTGACAACTGATGCACCCAACTCAAGGGAAACGTACATCTTCCAAGCTCTGAAGCACTCAACTTCCACAACCCCGGCCAACACGAAACGAGGTGGTTCAGGCCTCGGCGCTCGTGACTGGAGCAGTCGCCGTAGGTGCCGTGGGCACCGTAGGTGCTGTAGCCTTCAGACAAGATTTGATATTATTCAGCAAAGCACAGAATGGTAAATTCACAGTGGCATCACAGGATGTGTGCAGGCGTGGCACCACTGGCACTGGCATCGGAGCAATCGGTCGGGTCACAAACAGATCGCCCTCCTGACGAGGCTCGGTATCTAAAACTTCACTGAAGGAATGGGTCAAGGGATGTCTCATATGCGGAATTAAAATGAACTCGGCCTCGAAGTTCATCTCCACCCGCGGGGATTTGAACAGCACTTGTCCAATCTCGGTGACCAAGAAGCAGGAGTCGATGTCCTCAGAAAAATGGGCGAATCAGGAACATTCCTTAGAGTGGCCTTGTGCAAACACTCCTGTCTTGTTCCGGGCCTGCTCAATCATATCATGAGCAATCCTGTCGAACATCCGCGGAATGTTCGCAGTCAGCAGCTCGTTGACAGTCCGTCGATGTCGGAGCAGAATCATCTCCACGACCTCATCACACACCCAGTGCATTGCATCATCCAGGCACCAACCCCAAAGCACAAGCCACTGGACAGCTGCAGACATGCTAAGGCGAGCAGACATAAAGGCTAGTGGCTCCATAAATATAAGTGCCCGTGATCTCGTCGGCGACGTGTCGTCGATATGGAAATGCAGCATTCAGTCGCCGGTGGCTTCGTACCGTGAACCTGAGGAAAGCGGAACATCAAGAAAGTACAACACTGATTTCAAGCGGGGCTTCAATTATGCAATCGGGCAGCAGCGGCCCCATGTTCTTCGCCATGTGCTTCAGACCATTGATGACAAGCTTGTCAGTTCCGCATAGAACAGTCGGGGTCCTGGGATATCGAATCAATCCGTAATGTGTGGCACGAATGCCACAGGAAAGATCTCAAACTCCAATCCAACCATTGCAAACCAAGCAGCTGCTTCGTGGCTCCAAAAGAAGACATCGTGAATATCGATATCTCAAAGGATAGATTCCTTGCAAGCTCCTGAAAGAAATCGCCCGTGATTCAAACCAACTCTTAGAGATGTGTACGAGTGTACAGCAGCTCTGTCCTTGAAGCAGTTGTACTGCTGCAGCTCACAGAAGCGATCGTACTTCAAATGCAGGACGAACCGCACTTTGATCGTGTAGCAAAGCTTTAGCAGATCGCTGAGGAAGCCCTCAGCTGAGTCAAGAAAACAAAACACTCAAAACAAACATGAACGGTATTGGCCAACATGGAGCAAAGAATCGGCCAGCTCTGGCATCAATCCTCGTTCTTCTCTGGAGCGGAAAGGCCTCAGAGAAGAAATGACGTGAATGGCTTCCGAAGACACCCTGCGAGATCCGATAATGCATCGAGGCACATGCAGTAGAAAAGGCCCCCCGGGAAGATTCGCGTGCACATCTGCAAACCTCAGAGAATTCTCGAGGATCTAATGTTTAGTGAGACAGAACAAACAGCCCACAAACGACCTGGAACCTCAAGATTTGCAAGCGGGAGGCAAAGATCCTGGCCTTCCTGGGTGCAAAGCCCCTCGCCGGTATTCGTTTCAGAGAGCTGTGCACACGAAATGTTCTCCTGGGCGGACGAATGGAGTGCAAACTGCCAATATGTGACCCCAAGCACTTAATGAACTGTCATACAGCAACAAACTCAGCAGAGCACCGACTCAAGCGCCCGACACAAGCTTGAGGTGGAATAGTCCAGCACATGGATGAACCTTTCCCTCCTCATACAACTTGATTCTGGGCCGAAGTAGCCCTCATCCAAGAGCCACGGTGCGACCTTCTCCGCTCGCTTCTCGAAGGCCGAGGAGAACATTGCAAAATGCAATGAATGGACTATGCTATGTCTGCCCAACGAGCTGTCCATCTGAAATGTAGCATGTGAAGCTGCTGAAACCTGAAATGCCTCTGAGTGAGGCTGTTGAAATCTGAAATGTCAAGCTCTTGAAGTCGGATGCCTCTGATATTCTGGGAACATAACTTCAATCACAAGCTGGGCCATCTCGAACAAAACCAACTGAGCGAGCACGCATTCGTAGTAGAAGCAACATGTTTTAGCCAGCATGCAAAGCGTAACCCTTGACTAAATGAACCTTCTAAAACCCTAGTAGTTACATCGAAGCACTATTAAAAAAATGGACGAACCTTGTAAAAACCCTCGTACATTCAAAGCTCCTTTCTGGCCTTGCCTCGTTCGACCTGGAAGCAATCCTCGAGGCCCAGAACCACCTGAGGTTAGCGTTGGGGAGCTGGTTTAGGATTTAGGGTTCAGGATTTAGGGTTTAGGGGTGTAGGGGTTTAGGGTTTAGGATCTAGGGTTTCGGATTCTATCCCAAAGGCTCCATGTACCTTTTTCGTAGATACTTGGGCCTTAAAGGGGTCCCTATATAGGTACTTTAGGGCCTAAGTATTATACTATATGGGTACATGGAGCCCTAGGGTATGGGAGCTGCCCAGACCTTCCAAAATCCCTTAATTGAGGGATATACCTTAAACCATATTATTAGGCGTCCTATTATAAGTTAAGGTATATTCCTTCACTAACTAAGGAATCTTGAAATGTCTCGGTGGTTTAGGGTTCCATGTAAGTTGTTGGGCTTTGGGCTTAGGATATAAACGCCGTGAGAAGCTGAGGCAAATTGAGTAGGAAAGGTGTGAAGGATGGTTTCGATCCATTGACGCTTACCCATGGGTTTTCGCATGGGACCTGGCTGCTAAGAAGATCGAGGGTAAGACACACGAGTGAAGGGCACTGGTACAAGCGTGTGGGATCTGCAGTTTCAGTCCCTCTCGTCTGCAGTTATACGGCCTTAAAGACGATTCACCTTTTGAATGAAGCGCACCGGTAGAACGAACACATGCTACCTGTAGTCTCCATTGTAGTTCCTTTTTTTGGTTGACCAGTTTTATGGTTAGGACCCTATAATAGAGATTTTGGTTAACCAAAAAAAGGAACTACAATGGAGACTATAGGTAGAACGTAACCCTTAGCTGCTGCAGTTTCGCACAGAGAGCAGGTTCCAACCCGAAACCCCAAACTCAAAGCTAACACTCCAAGGGTAAAGGGAGGGACCCTTAATGAGGACCCCTAGGTATATACCCTGAATATAGCCATTATATACCCATCATATAGCCCATTATAGGGTAGGCGTCCCCGTTAAGGGTCCTCCTTTTCACCTTCGAAACACAGAAGCCAAAGCAAGCACCTCAACAAAGGTTTCAAAACGCAAGCAAACAAGTTTCAACACTTTATGTTTTTGTAAACCTTGAACCCTGAACCATGTTACTTAACCCTAGAAGCCCAGGTACCCAAATAGTATATGCCCCAAGGTACCTATATAGAGACGACTTCAGAGCCAAAGTATACATTATTTGGGCACATGGACCCTTAAGCACTAAGCGCTAAACCCTTAATTATGGTACACTTATAGAACCCTTATCGGAACCCTGTTTGGGCACATGGACCTTTAGGGTCCGAGTCCCTTCGGATCATACGCATGGCAATCCGAGGGGCACTTCCCATCGCGTTGATGCATGGCACCTTGGCACACCCGAAGGCTCCATGTACCCATATAGTAAATACTTAGGCCTTAAAGTACCCATAGAGGGACCCCTTTAAGGCTTAAGCCCTAAGGGTCCATGTACCCATATAGAGATAATTACATGAGCCCCAATGTACCTATATAGGGACTACATTAAGGCCAATGTATATACTATATGAGTACATGGACCCTTAGGGAAGTATCTATTATGAAGGTACATGGCACCTTGGCAGATCCGAAGGTCGTCTTGGGACCTGGGGCCTGCACCTGCACACAAAGACTTACATTGTACGCATCTAGTTGTATCTCTTATATATATATATATACTCATATACACATATATGTATATGTACATATATACATGCACATGTATGTATGTATGTGTGTGTGACACAGATGCTGCTATCAGTGCATGCACATGTACACGTGTAGGGCAGCGCGTTGCAAGTACACATGTTCATGCATAACGGCAGTGTAATTCGCTTGATCGCGACTTTCTGCTTTTATGTATGTGCGTGTATCGCGTCGTTTTCCAGGAGCACGCTTAAATTGACAAGCAAACAGCACGACGAAATTTCGGACTCTCGAGTAAAGGCCCTAGATTACTTAGAGAAAGTGCTTCCAGGGTCTAGGGAGTTGTTTGGGGAACTAAAGGATTTCTGGTAAGTAAACAGGGCCCAGACATGCTCACAATTGTGCTAATGAACCCCACACCCTAACCCGCTAATGACCTAAAAAGCGTCTTCAAGCATCTTCAGACATTGCCTGCATATGATAGATTGTAGTCCATGTGCAAAGTCATCCGACCCCCAAGTAGATGCCGGCGAACCAGAGCGAACACCCTGAACGTGGCGCTTTCAACATACAGGCACAAAATGCTGGTGCCCCGATCCCGAAACGACTCTGAACCGCTCGACGGAAAAGGCTTGATTAACCAACCAGTCGTTTTGGGGTTCCCTGGGCTCTTTAGCTCCTTATTCAATAGGGATTATCATCATCCCTGGCTCCTTAGCTCCTCCAATATCAAAGGTTAGTTAATGCAGTGTAGGGTTTCGGGGTGCGTCGACAACCCTAAACCCTTAACCCTAAACCCTACACCATTCCGAGGCAGGGCACACCCTGTCGCCCACACTCGGCGACCAGAAAGTTCCCAAGGGACGTCGACAAGGAAAAAATGATCATGGCCCCGGCTTGCCTGGGGAGGGTTTAGGGTTTAGGAATCATGAGTGGGAGGATCTAGGAAGTAGGGGCCTAAGCTACTAAGGGTACTTTATATGTTTCCCCATTAAGGGATCTACTTTTTGGATCCTCCCTGGGGAAGGAATCATGAGTTGAGCATTCAGGGCTTTTTCTGGTCTAATATTCCGTGATACAAACCCTAAGGTCCTGAACCCTACAATTTAGGTTCCAGGGGCTCTAAAGGAAGTCTTTGTGGGTGGGCCTTTGAAACCACATTTGGCGCCAGAAGCCCCTGGGTCCTTAGCATTCCAGAGTTCAACGCTCGTGTCGCTGAGAGAGCAGTGTATGGGCGAAAGTCATGACTTCTCTAGCCCTACGCTTCCCGGTGCCTCATGATTGGGCCTTAACGGGGGGGGCCCTAACTACGAGGTGCTTGGAAGCATAGGGTGGGAGCGAAAGAAGACAAAGCTGAGCGAAAACCTTGCCCCGCCGTCTGACAACGAGAGACTTCAGAACCCCATAATCTAGGAAGGTACAGATTTTTAAACCTCTAAACCCTACCCCAAGTAACTAGTATTGAACCCGAAACCCCCGGCCCAAAAAGGGATCTTTTAAGTGAGTTTTCGGTATACCGATATTCCTAGTGCAGCGAGCACCACTCTTACATCTCCTCTGCTTACCGGGTGCCTCGAAGCCGTCTAGAAATTTGATTTAACATATTATAGAGATCTGTCTGTCTGAGTCTGTCTGTCTGCCTGTCTGTATGTATGTATGTATCTGCATGTCTGAATAGACAGACATGCATGCACGCATGCATGCAAACATACAGACATACACAGTCATACGTAATCATACATAGTCATGCATACATGCATCTAAACATACATATATGCAAACAAGCAAACCAACCAACAACAATTCCAAACGCAAACACACACAAACAGACAAACAAACAAAAACAAACACAAACACACAAACACACAAACAAACAGGCAAACAAACACACAAACAATGAAACAAATAAACAAACCAGCAAGCAAGCACACAAACGAACAAACAAACAAACAAACAAACACACACACACACACAAAAGCAAGCAAGCAAGCAAGCAAGCAAGCAAGCAAGCAAGCATACATATGTACAAACACACGCGTGCATCCATGCATCCATGCATCTATGCACATGCATACACGCAAACATACAACCTTGCCGCCCGAAGCTCGATTCTTCTCCTGCTTACTCTAGACTCTAGAGGCCCAAGAATTAAGACAGTCATGGTGGTTTATCGTCTACATCTGCACAAGTCGAGGTGCGAGAAGCAAGCACAACGGCCAATGCGGCTACATGTCTGTTGCCTGTACTGTTTGCTGCTGACTTCTTGTTCGTTTCAGCTCAGCCAAGCTACTCAATGGCCAGTGACTCATCAGGAGCGTAGTTCGCCGCCTTCGACGCTTGGGGTCCACAAGGCTTCGAACCCCATGCCCCTGACCCTCTTGGCCTACGCCCTCAGCCTCGCAATCTGTACGCTCAGAAGGGGAAAACAAAAAAAACTTAAACTTAAAATCTTAAATCGTTCAGCCAAAACCTAAAACTACAAAAGACTACAGGCAACACAAGGATCTTGGAACCTAGTTCATGTTGGAAACCCCTTACAAGTTCCCTGAAACCCTTTAGGGTTTGGGTTTAGCTGCTTCTCTGGGGGCTCCCACAAAACATCATGTGTCTGCAGACTCAGCGCCTGTAAGTCAACCCGTCTAGTATTTAAACTGGTTTCCGGAGGGGGGATGGTGGTTACAGAGTGTAGGGTTGAGGGCTTAGGGTTTAGGGCTTTGGGCAGGCGGCTTTCGGGGTAGTCTCGGTGTGCGAGTGTCTATGTGTGTGTGTGTGTGTGTGTTTGCTTGTTTTCCACGGCTGTTTACATTGCAGAGCTCAGGGTCTAGAGTTCAGTGCTGTTGCAATATAAAACATGAAGCTCGGAATGGTTTCAAGGCTATACAGCTCGGTGTCTACGGAGTCATATTGCTACTCTTTTGCGGGAGAAAGGGGGGATGACTTTAAACCCACCCTAAACCCTAACCCCTAAACCCTAAAGCCCTTAATCCTAACCCCTGATTAACCCCTCGATGCCTAAAGCATCGGGGGGTTCTGGGCCTGACCTTTCGCTCCCTAAATACCCCTTAAAGCCGTATCAATCCCTCAAAGGAACCCGTATAAACCCTTTTCAGGAGCCCTTCCAGATCCTTATTATGGCAATTACTAACCTTTGATTTTGGAGGAGCTAAGGAGCCAGGGATGATGATAATCCCTATTGAATAAGGAGCTAGAGAGCCCAGGGAACCCCAAAACCACTGGTTAGATTAAGTACAGTGCCCTAAACCCTAAACCCTAAACCCTAAACCCTAAACCCTAAACCCTAAACCCCTAAACCCTAAACCCTAAACCCTAAGTACAGCCCCTGGACAAGAACCGAAGGTTTCACACCTGCTCAACGGCTTTCCTCACGTCCTCCTCGGTTCTCACCCCGGAGATGACGTCCACCTGGGCCTTTTGCACGTCACCTGAGCCAACGGTGTGGGGTTTGGGTTCAGGGTTTTAGGGTCTAAGGGTTTGTAGGGTTTAGGGTTTTAGGGTTTCGGGCTCGGGGCTTAGGGGTACGTTGAAATTATGGGGGAGTTGGGTTTCGCCGTTTCGGTGGCTGCGGCGCAGAGAAAGGGTCAAATCTACATACACTGACGGACTGGCAGTTGCACCTTCTGACTGGCGTAGCAACCCTAAACCCTAAACCCTAACCCCTAAACCCTGAACCCTAAACCCTGAACCCTAAACCCTGAACCCTAAACCCTAAACCCTAAACCCTAAACCCTAAACCGAACTAAAGCACTCCCTGCAGTGAGCAGGGCGGCAGTCAAGGCTAGGCTTGGAGCTGTCGCCGACAGAAAAGAGCTCGGCAAAAAAGAGTCCATTAGGGATCTATATAGGGTTTAGGGTTTAGGGTTTAGGGTTTAGCCCTTGCCACCCTTCTTGCCATGCATCATCTTTCCACTCATGTGTTATGCACTGATCTTGTTTGTACTTCCAACAATCTAGAGAACTACCCAACTGCCGAGCATCCCTGAACTACAGAGGTCGGGGGTCTGAGGTCTATGCAAAGTAGAAAGTTACCTTAAACAACCATAGGCCACGTTTGTGGGTAGGTTTCTGTTGTGAACCCTGACTTAATGAAATTCATTTCCAGTAATCAATAAAAATTAGGTCTTGGCAGGTTCAGGTCAGTCCTTCAGAAACGTCATAGTTCAAGGTGCAGGGTGAGTCACTGAATCACAGATCACTTCTTTGCCAACGCCGTGCCCCTCTCTCTCTCTCTCTCTCTCTCTCTCTCTCTCTCTCTCTCTCTCTTTCTCTCTGGCGTAAACCCTAAACCGTCCGCACTGAAATGGCCCGAGAGCTGACAAGCACGACTGCTAACACGGGGCGTCTGCAACCAGAATAGCGGTCTAAAGGCCGTTTTGTCAGAAATTCAAGAGGTTTATTTGTAAGGTTTACAACGAGCACCCTACGAAATAGTATTGGACGCCGGAACAACTAAAATTACTAAAATCCACAACCCGATCAATCCTTGCTGCGGCGCCGAATTGCCTGAAGCCCATCCTGAGTGGGGCTGCTTGGAGAAAGGTAGAGTATAGGGGTCATTTCAGGTGAAGGCTTTCTTGGGGTTACGAAGATAAAAGCCCAGAGGATTGAACCATCATGTTCCTCGTTTGAAATTCTAATGCCGTAAACAGACACTAGTGGCCGGTGCCATTGAAAACAGAGCTCTATCATATCCAAGCATATAAATCCCAAACATCAACAAGCGAAAATTACACACCGAGGCCCTTATCGTTCCATCTTGTACACCGGACCTCGCCCCCCCCCCCCACCCCACCCACGAGGCGCACTCAATAGAGCTTCGATATGGTGCCTCCGAAAACAGTTTGGGTAAACTTTGGTGGGTACCCGCGGGGTTAGGTTATTACACCTGCCAGTCTTTGCCCCAGGGTCTCTGCGATCATCTTCGCCACCTGTCCGGTTCCGTCGGAGACGGCAAAGATGGGCTTTGGGTTGACGTCCTCTCCGCGCTTCAAGGCGTAGGTGGAGGCGGGCCGGCAGGGGGAGGGCTCAGGCATTCTTTTGAGGATTTCGTGCTTTTGGGTCTGAGAGTGACGAATAACCACAATACCCCTGAGCACATCAAGGTCCCTAAAGCAGCATGCGCATTTGCAGTCTGTCTCCATATGTACGTACATACACTCTTGAATACGATCTCTTGTGTGCATACGGATAGGTTAGATGTGTCCCTGATTTAGACCACATGACTCTTCTGTTGGACATGGTTCTCGGTTCGACAGGGTTGCATGTTAAATCATGCATTTTTCGTTCGGGACGCTGGTGAGCTGTGGCATCCACCTTTATCTTTACAGCGTCTAGACTAGCGTGGGCCTGTCTTAAAACTGACTTCCTAAACCCTCGCGACACAAGCTCAATCACAATCTGTTCACGACAAGCCAGAGTTTGCCTCAACCCACAGACGGCCCATCGACATAGAACCGGAATTCCTCAAACCCCGAAACACACCCTGATGCCTATACATCCCTACAAAGACCCGTAACTTTGACCCTAACCTAAAGTCTCAACAGGCCTCAGACCTACTATCGCTTTGCGGGCGTAGTATAGGGGCCTTAATAATTAGAATTGGGTTTTGGGCCCAATTACACTACAGTTATGGTAAGGAACCCCCAAAGTAGTATAGGTAATTATTAAGGCCCCTATAGTATTTGGACTGACAGTTTTCTTGGAGGATCTGGGGGGAGGCTGCCTTCAGAGTAAAAGAGTATGGGGTTCGACGGGCGGGGCTCTTGGATCTAGTTATACAAGGGGGCCAAAGATATAGTTACAGCACCTTGAGAGATGTTAAGAGCTAGAAAGTACGTTCCCCGGATCCTCCCAGTACGGTCTCGGAAGTATGCTTTGCTGGGCCAGGGTTTAAGGTTTAAGGGTTTTAAGGGTCCATGTACCCGAATAGTAATTATACACCTTAGCCCTGAAGTCGTCTCTATGTAGGTACTTTGGAGCCACAGTATAAACTATTTGGGTACATGAACCATGATGGTACCGGCTTATCGAGATCAGCAGTTGGCTCACTTTCTACTCGCGACAAGGTTTACAGAAGCCCAACTTCCCCACAACACCGGCTTAGCACCTGCATACATCTGCATACCCATAGGCTCCATAGTAGTTCCTTTTGGGGATTACCTTGCAGGATTCTAAATATGAGACCCAAAAAGGAACTACTGTGAAGCCTCTAGATACCATCAAATGTCCTGAGCCCTGAATCGTCGCAAAAAGGGGGTTCAGGGTTTAGGGGTTTAACTGTGCACCAGAGCCGAGACGACTGCTATCGATGCAACTGCACATACTAGTCACTTCCTAGAGGCTCCATAGTAGTTCCTTTCGGGGGGTCCATATTTAGAATCCGGTAAGGTAATTCACCCCGAACAGGAACTACTATGGAGCCTATGGGTGGTCCTTCAAATCTTCAGGCCAACAGCCGTAACTGCACACAGAGAGCGAGGCATATAGGCTAATACCACCGAAACACAACCCAAAGCTGCGCCAGAACCAAAACCCAAAAAAGCAGGGTTTCAGCACCCCAAAACCCCAAAAAAAACAAACCCCGAAACCCACGACCCTATGTACCCTAGCCCTATCTGCCTGTAAATCCTAAAACCGATAGCAAGAGAGAAGAAAAGGTCCACGTACTCGTATAGATACCTTGGCTTTGCTATAGCCAAGGCTCCATGTACCTTTATGGTAGATACTTGGGCCTTAAAGGGGTCCCTATATAGGTACTATTTAAGGCCTCAGTGTCTACTATACGGGTACATGGAGCCTTAGGGTAGTACCAAAGCGGCAACGAAGCTTCCCGCCTCCCCCCATGGTGCCACCGCGATGGTTCGCGTCGCTGCGAACATCCTGAGCGCTGGGCGCTTTCGGCATTGGGTGGTTTAGGGCTTTGGGGGCAGGTTTCTAGGTGGTTTAGGGTTTGGAGGCTGAGACTTTATTTTAGGTTTACCCTAAGGCTCTAAGGACTCATATATTAAGGCTTTTGAGCCCAAAGACCATACTATATAATTACGGCTTTCGGGCCATTTTGAGCCTTAGGGTGAGGGTTTGGGGACAGGCTTCTAGGCTGTATTGGGAAATGTGGAATCTTTGGTTTTTGGGTTGTTTGACCCCGAAACTCAAGTGCCGATGCCTCCAGTAAAAAAAACATAAGCGTCCAAATGGCAGTTTCCTGACGCCCTAAGGCCGTCCCAGTCCCAAGCTTTACGGTGTATTTTGATTCTTGTTGTAATAAATCCTACAAAGCGCAACTCGGGTATCCCCGATCGCTGAAGATTTTGAAGCCCGAGAACACCAACGAGCCATAAACAGTAGGACACCCAACAAAGGTCAGGGAAGTTGCTTTGCATCCTCCAGCGACGCCCCTGGGACCTCAGAATGAACTGGACGCAAAGGGTTCGAGGACTTTGGGAAAAAGGGTTTACCTTAACCCTGAAGAACCTACCTTCTTTAGGTTCCCTATTATGATTTCCTTATACAATTCCTTAAGGTAGGGCTTAGATCGGTTGAAATCCGGGCTTGGGGCTGAGAGTCTGCGAGTATACGGGCTCGATTCTTTGAGCGTTGCAGGATCGGTTATGAGGTTCGGCGAGCGCAGGCTTCTTATCTTCGTCAAGATCGTTTCGTAGTTACCCATCGGCTTCCTTTTTGGGATTACCTTATTGGATTCTAAACATGAACCCTAAACATGAACTACTATGGAGCCTCTAGTTAGGGAAAGAGACGGTGCAGGGCCAATCAAAACGTCATTAGAGTCCTGGTAAGCCTAACTTCCAGCATCTGCAGTCCAATCGAACCAAGGCCGCCACGAAGGAGTTGATCCTAGGCGCAAAGGGGCATCACCGCCGTCTTGCCAATGGGGTTGACTTACAGTTGTGTTATTGTGTATTGTTCGGTTGTATGGGTTGTTTAGATCTCCGATTCTATATAGCTTGTTAGAGTTCTGGTAGGTGCGTTTAGAGATAAAACACAGTCAAAGGCTGTCAGGCCCAACATAGAGTTAGAGACCCTCATCTGACACCTGTATTTGTGCATATATGTATGTGTATACATACATATATATATATATATATATATACGTATACGTGTATGTACATGTATGTTCAAACAAGTACAAACACTATAAGACAACTAAACTTAAACATTATTGCAGCATTCTGATACTACATGTACACACTTCCGGGGCCCCTATTGTGGGAAACTCCAAAATGGATAAACATTGGGACGCTCTGACTTGGCAGATTTAAACTGCAAGACAGTACCCTAAACCATAAACCCTAAACCGTGGATGAAAGCCTATTGGATGAGCTTTTGTCTTAGGGCCCTAAACCCCAAAACCTAAAGGCAGGGTCCACGGTCAGGGTTTTAAGGGCTTGGGGTTGAGGGTGTAAGGCGTGTCTTTGGGAACCTTAGTCTAAAGTAGCTCACAAACCCACGCCCAGGACCATGAGACTGCAGCGGCATCGGTGGAAAGCGGTGCAAAACTATGCAAAACCAGGAACACGAAGGGCTGCAAACTTCCAAGAGATGCTCCAAGGGTAAAAGGAGGGACCCCTAGGTATATATCCTTAATATAGCTATTATATACCCATTATGTAGCCCATTACAGGGTAGGGGTCCCCATTGAGGGTCCCTCCTTTTCCCCTTTGAGGATGCAGTTCAGGGTGCACCTGGACCCATAAACACCTGCGTTTTGAGAGTCCCTCAACGTGATACGGTTGATGATATAAATCCTGCATGACCTTAAGGACCCTAAACTATGGGAATTATGGTATATTCCTTATTATGGGTAATGCAAGATTTATATCATCAACAGTAGGGTTTAGGGTTTAGGGTTTGGGGGTGATCGATCTCCTTGTATAAGTGCATGAACTGGCAAGCTCTTTTGGTTAAGTTAGCCATGATGTTGTCAAATTTTTGTTGCAGTTAACGATGAGAAGGAGCCGAAGAGAGACCATAAAGTGAACCCAAGCCCAGGCAACAACTACCGTTGTCATATGCCCAAGTGCCGAGAACAGGCCTAAACCGCAAGCTCCAATTCCAAATCCACTTTCAACTCTAAACCCTAAACCCCTAAACCTGAAACCCCTAAACCCTAAACCCAACCCCTAAACCCTGAAACTTAGTACCCCCCCCCCACCAGATGCATCTGTGCAACTGACCCGGAGGCGGCTTTCGAATGTCACTGAAAAAGTCTTCTGCTTCGCTCCCTGCCTCATCCAGGTCGTCACACAGAGCTTAATATTGGGGCCTTAATAATTAGAATGGGCTTTTGGGGTATATTAAACTGTAATCAAATCATAATCGTCACAGAAGAGCTTCTTGGGTTTGGGGTTTAAGGTACTTGGAGCTTCATGGGCAGTTATACGTGGGGTTATAAGTCCCCTAATATGGGTTATAACTATAGTTATCCTACTGATAACTCTACTTATAACTACCCGTGAACCTCCAAGTAGAGAGCTCAAGGGGTTTAGGCCGGCGCTCAAGGCACCCTCCGGCGGATGCCACACGTGCATGGATCCCTGTGAAAGAGTGAAAGACAGTTTAGGGTTTAGGGAGGTCTTATGACGATATTATGAGGATCCCAACAGGGCCGCATTCCTCGGACATTACTCCCGTCTACATAGCGTGTAGAGTTCAAATTGAACGTCCGACAGGTTCCCACAATCCCTCTCCTTCAAAGCCTCGCAACCACTAGCCCTAAAGGTCCATGTGCCTATGCAGTTATACTTAAGCCTGGAGGCTGTTTCATTTCCGCCTTCACGAGATCGGCTTTATAGGCTCGCGTGTTTAGCCATGTAAAGGTTCCCTACGCTTCGAGCCATACCCTTCAACGTCGGTTGAAGCTTCAACAACTTCAGACATGTTTGTGAAGTCCTACTTCTTACAGTGGATCCCAGAAAGTTGGAACATGGATTGAGGATGATTAGTCGGATTCCCTATCCTTTACCTGAAGGGCATGAGGACAATGATGTTCCAACTTTCTGGCTTCTACTGTATCCCCCAAGTTTGCAGCCCTGGCCATTTCGGTTGCCAACCGCCGCGTGCCTAGCATCGCCAGGCAAACCTAGCGCCCCTGCAACCTTCCCCTAACACGCCCGCACACTGCTCTAACGTAGGACCTTCAAATTTAGAGCTTGGGTTTAATCATGGGATCAGGAGGACTCCTTCATATCTAGACTTTGGGACCAGCAGGACCTTTCATATTCACGGTTTGGGGCCGTGGGGTTTGGGTTCTCCGGCCTTCTGTCCACGGCCGGCATCTTTGGCGGCAGCCTGCTTCTGCCGAGGTGGTTGAACCCTACGGTTAAGGGATTAGGGTTTAGGGTTGTCGTGTGATCTTTGGAACCAACGTGCAACCGATGGGAATGAAGTTCTCCCAGCAACAGCAAACCTCTCTGCAGGACCAGTTGCTATTGGCTTCCTGTTTGGCAGTCGAGAACGGATATTCACAGTAATCTAAAGCCACCGAACTATATGGGAGTTTCCGAAAATAGGGAGCCCTAATATGGTACCCTACATAATAGAATTCTTATTGTAAAGACCCTCAAACTGTGTACCCCTAATATTTGGAAACTCCAATATCGCCGACAAAGACGCACTGACCCTAAGGCTCCATGTACCAATATAGTATATACTTAGGCCTTAAAGTGCCTATATAGGGACTCCTTTATAAGGCCCAAGTATCTACCATAAAGGTACATGGAGCCTTTGGGTGACTGTCATCGCAATTCTCAGAACACACACGCGAACTCCGGGCTCCCGGGCCGGTCTCAAGTCTGGTTGCAAGCATATCTACCCTCATACCTTAGGGGGGGGGGGGGTAGGGGGAGGGGACTATACTTGCTTAAATGGGCCTTATAATTACATAAGGCATACCTTAAAGGGGTAGGGGGAGGGGGGTAGGGGACTAAACTTCCTTAAATGGGGCACGAAGCCCCCTACCCCAAGTCCCCCTACCCCCCTAAGGGTCCCTGTGATACCCGGTTTCAAAAGCTGGTATGCATCTGCACGGACGAAATCCTTCAGCACTTCGAAAACTAAGAATACTTTGTGTTGTGGACAATGCAATAGTTTCTACGAGCATGCTTAAGCTTACATTCCACCTGCATCCGAGCGCGATGGCCCCGAGTACGCGGATGACAGCGGCATTTGCCTCGAAGCTGCTCTGGTGGCTTGCAGGCGAGTTATGCGCGAGTTTCCGCGAATAAACAGGCCCTGTAGTAAAGTTGGACCATCGTTGATAGAGCTTCTTATCAAGCTCTCATGTAGGAAACTGCATGTTTAAGAATCCTGCTGTGGCTTCTTGCTGAGGTGTGGGCGTGCGCCATGACATTACCCTATAAAGGGACCTCTAAAGCTACTATACAGGAAATTCGTCGAAACAAATTCACTACCCGCTAAGCAACTATGTAGGTATCTTCATGAACCCTGAAACCCCAAAAAAGCTCTAGAAAGACACTGACCAAACAAAAGGGGGGCGGGGTTGCCGAAAATACCGGACCCGAAAATAGTACCCTAGATAGTAGGGTCCTTATTATAAGGACCCCCCCCAAAATAAAGTGGTAACATGTCAGAAGTGTGAGCATTACAGCTACAGCTACATCAAGTCGAACAAACCTACCCCTAAGGGTCCTAAGTATTGTCACGGCGGGACACTGCCTCAAATTCTAATCGTAATTCCGAAAGTAGAAACCCTGCATTCTACGGTGTAGGCACTGACCCTTTGGGTATCAAAGCAAAACTGTAGTGCTTTGATTGATACCAAATGACCACTTTACAACCAGCTGCTAATGAGATGTTCTGCCTTTACCTCTCCCTCCCGCCCAGAGAGAGAGAGAGAGAGAGAGAGAGAGAGAGAGAGAGAGAGAGAGAGAGAGAGAGAGAGAGAGAGAGAGAGAGAGAGAGAGAGAGAGAGAGAGAGAGAGAGAGAGAGAGACAGAGAGAGAGAGAGAGAGAACTTGCAACCTCTAACGAAGGTCACGATCAACCTTCAATTCACCTACTGGTTCCATTGTACTTCGTTTTTGGGCTACCTGATGAGATCCCAACTACAGAATTTGTTGAACCAACGACTACAATGGAGACTATAGGTTAAAAGCAGTGTGCACCTCACCGTAAGACTTCAGCACCCTAGGCGCAAACCTTAATTCTTCATCCGTAGCTCCTGCACAGGCTGCACAACTCCTTGCAGTGCGTTTTTCACAGCCATAGACGCAGACGGCTGCTGTTTGATGTCGCTGATTGTCAATGTTCGGGCTTCGTTTACACTGTGGCCGAAGCAGATTATCGCCGCAGCTGGGCCTGGTCCCTTCCTTTAAGCTCTGTGTTCAGGGTCTTCGTGCATCTCCGGCCCTATGACCCGAGAGTTGTGGCCATGCCCCCTGACAAACTTCTCAAGCTCATGGAGCGAGAGTCCCGATTGGCGTCCGCTGTATCGGAGCGTGAAGAGCGCCGGCACAGTGGCTGCTGCTCTCGGCTTCTATCTCAAGACCACGCCTTTGATGTCGTGGTACGTGACGAACTCCTTCTCTGTCTACTGGTAGTGCTGCATGGTCTCCGTGTGGATCTTCCTGCAGAGATGCAGCTCGGATTCCTCCCGTGCGACGAGTCCGGCCCCGAGCTTGACCAAGCATCGGCCAAGACGTTCTCCGGAAGCCAAGACCAGTGGTTTTGGGGTTCCCTGGGCTCTTTAGCTCTTTATTCAATAATTAGGGATTATCATCATCCCTGGCTCCTTAGCTCCTCCAATATCAAACCTTAGAAGATCCAGCTTCCGAACGGGCAGAATCCGCAGAGTTAGAAGTCTTTTATGCATTACTCACCAAACTCTCCCACTAACTCAGGACTAGAGAAACCCCTTTTGTCAAACACCTCCTGTGCAACCGAAAACTGAACCGGAGTTGCAGACTACGCTTGGAAGACCATGATGTAGATCACGTGGCCCTAATGTTAGGAGATCTTCGGAAACACCTCTACACAAACAATCACTATGCAACGCAGTAACATTCCTCATACAGCTCAATGAGCCTTCTATGACTCCATAACACTCCTGAACCCTAAACCACACTTATAACTTATAACAAGCCCATATCCTTAAACCCCAAACCGCAGGGCACCTGCATAGCATTCCGTAAAACAAGCCTAAAAGGGCCCTGTAAGGGTTCCCTTAAGAAGCAGCCCTTAAGGGCCTCCTTTGAGGGTTCCTTTATAACAGAAATCTTGCCCAGGGCACCTCCTTCTATCCGACGCCTCCGACGCTCCGACGCCAGCATGCCCGCAAAAGAGCAAGCCAAGCATTGCCTCGCTAGCTCCCGGGTTCGGGGATTTAGGGTTAAGGGTTCAGGGGTTTTAGGGTTTAGGGTTCAGGGGATTTAGGGTTTAGGGTTCAGGGGATTTAGGGTTTAGGGATACAGGGGATTTAGGGTTTAGGGATTCAGGGTTTAGGGATTTTGGGGCTGAAGGGGCTGCTGTGAAGACTCCATATAACCCTTAGGGTCCACTTGAGGGTTCTGTAAGGGCTTTAGGGTTTAGGCTTCAAGGGTCCAAGTACCCAACTAGCACATGCTGTGTGGCCCAAAACTACCTATACAGGGACTATTTTGATGCCAAAGTATATACTACTTGGAGACCCATAGTGTAAGGGTTTTTTACCTCCTACCTTAACCCTGAAGGACCTACCTTTTTAAGGACTTGTATATGAAGACCAGAACAAGGTAAGTGTATGGGGTTTAGAGCTCTGGGTTCAAGGCCCAGGCTGTTCTGCGAGGGGGCCTCGAGCTGTGGGGTTGAGAGGTTCCCGGGGTTTTCGTGAAGGGTACTGTTGGGGTTACTCAAACGGTTCCTACAAACGGTTCCCACAGGGGGTTCGGCGTTTCGTGGACCCCGATGCCTAAGCCGCGAGCTAAAGTTTAGAATTTTCCATGGCTTAAGATTTCGGTTTTGGGGGCTCGAAGCCCCAGTCAACCTTCCAAGCATGCAACTAAAGACGGAAGCACGCACATGGAACAACAGCAAGCAACAAGTCCACGGGCAGAACATTTCTTCAATCTACATACATGTACAAATCATGAGTTCGCAAACTCGAACAACATTTCCCTGCCCACTTGAAGATAAACTCCGACACCAACCTCTCTCGCCCAAACCCTACCAAACCCAAAACCCGGAACCCAAAACCCTGGAGCCATGAAAGCCTTAAGCAACAAACCGTGAACCCTAAACCCTGAACCCTAAAAAAAACTAAACCTAAAACCCAAAACCCTAAACCTAAAACCTTTATTGACCAGTTGCAGAGGTTGCGGACGTAGTTGCCAGACACCCTGCGAGCCAAAGGCAAACATCGAAGGCAAGGCAACACGTGGAGGTTCATGGGTACTTAAGTGGGGTTTATAAGTAGGAGAACTAGAGTTATAGCCTATATGATGGGACTTATAACGCTACCTATAACCAACCAGGAACCTCTCAAAGCAGGGCCTGCATGACTAGATTGGGGTTGTGAGTGCACTGTTATACAGAGACTGTCAGCCCAAATTCTCAGCTCCCGCACCTGTGTCCCATGCTGCGCAGCCCTGTGCGCTCGCATTGTTGTCGCAACATGGCCCGACCTCTCCAACCAGGACACATTCACGGAATGATGGTAGCATTCGTCGTCGAAGGCGTACGAATTCATGTAAAAATGAAGTCTATGTCCGCAGTACAATTGTTGCCAAATTGGGCCCCTGTGTGTAAGGGCGATTGCTACCGCTTGCTTGCTTCCTTTGCTTGTCTGTACGTTCATACACATGCGAGTGTCATTAAATATCGAAATCCTGCTTACATCTCACACACACACATGCATACATACATACATACATACATACATACAGTATACACATATACACGTACGTATACGTGCACACGCACATACACACTCGGATACACAGCTTTGAACATGTCGGGAACCTTGTTCATGTATGTATGTATGGACGGGTAGATGGACGGACGGATGGATGTAGGCATGTATGTATAAATACATACGTACATGCAGTAATACAAGAGTACCATATTTCATCGGCATTGGGCTTTCTAAAGCTGGTCGAAGCTAGTTCAGTCCTACCTCGGCCTGGATTGGATTGTAGAGATGCTTCTGTGCGAACTCAACTTATCCGAATCACGTTCCGGGCTCTATAATCTCAAAAGGGTGAACCTGTAGTGGAATCCGTATCCCATGTACCTATATCGTATATACTTAGGCTTTAAAGTACCTATATAGGGACCCCTTTAAGGCCCAAGTATCTACCATAAAGGTACATGGAGCCTTTGGGATAGAATCCTATACCCTAATTCCTAAACCCTAAACCCTTAAACCCTAAACCCGTATTCAGGTACCGGAATCCAGGGTCTGGGAAGCTGTCGAGTGTCAAGGCCCTACCTCAGCCTCTTTCGGGACTTAGTGTACAAGGTAGGGTTTAGGGTTTAGGGTTTAGGGTTTTGGGTTTAGGGTTTAGGGTTTAGGGTCGGGGTTTAGGGATTGAAAGAGTTTAGGGTTGAGGGTGGGGGGGGGTGGGGTTGAGGGAGTTTTAGGGTTTAGCGGTATGCCTAAAACATAGTTAGGGCTCGTCCAGATCAGGGAGGTTCAACTTCGACAAGAGTTTGCCGTTACCGGAGCGCCTCTAAGCTATCTCCTTCAACATGAGTGCTGCAACAGCTGCTATCTGCACGAAGCACATTAACTTCGACATGCCCGTGCTAGAGTGAGTAGCCTCCAATGGCACGGCGCCAAAGCCGCCATGACTCCAAAAAAGAAGTTGGGAAGTCGCAGCTTATGGGCTACTCTTTTGCACTTCTTTGGCTCTATCAAAGTCTGAAGCCCTAAACCCTAAATCCCTAAACCCTAGAAGGGCGGGCTTTTTACAAAGAGTTCCAGGCCTGAGTTGCTAACTCTGGAGAGTCTGAAAGCTTGGGATGTTCGAAGTTGCCAGTTCCTAGGAATTCAGAGAAACGACTATCATGAAATTATGCTAGTGGAAGGAATCCCAAGAAACGACTATCATGCAATTATGCTAGTGCCTAAGAAGCCAGTAAAAACGACTGTCATGAAATTAGGTCCCGAAGCCAAACTCATGATGTTGGCAGTTTGTACGGATCCTCAAGGGTTGCTAGGTAGCCTTTTTTCTCGCGGCGGGCTGTCCTATGACAAGGCACCCTTAGCCTCATACCTACATGGCTAGTGTCCATGGTAGCTCCTTTGGGGGTTACCTTATGTATAGGATCCCGAATTTGAATACAAGGTTGGTTAAACCAACAAAGGAGCTAGAATGTTGAGTCTGCAGGTGCCTCAAAGCTGAGCACAATCTGAAACATATCACTTTAGCAGTTGAGCTGAGCCAGTCTGAGGAGGGAATATTTGGCAGCTCAAACGAATGCTTGTCTACAAAAACACCCGCCGCCGGGGCCTTCATGGTAGTTTGAAAGGGTTGTATAATATACAACAATTATGCAAGGACTGCAGAGGAATAAGTCTGACGCCTGACAGCGGAGCATGTTCCCCCCAACCAAATCCTACTCTCGACTCTGGACACGGTATTAGCTTGAGGTGAAGTGCCGAGCACATCAAGCTCAGTACCACTTGATTGCTTCGTGCCGCTCGATTGGCTTTCTTACCTTACATCAGGATGTCAGGTCCCAAATGCTGTCGTTTGTTGGTGTGGGGTAGCAATGAAAGCAAGCCTTACGGAAATGCCGCAGCATACAGGAAGGTCTGACATTCCATACATTGCAGGCTACACAGGCGGGACCACAAGCTGCAAGGATAGTCCATCAACGTTTGGAGTACGGTATGTTTTTGCATCATAGCAGGGGTTAGACAATGCAGGGTCCAGTTAGAGATGTTGCCTAGTAGCGCTGTACCTTGACTCTGGAATGCAGTGCTTTTTGATATTGGATATTGGATAAATCATTTATCGGTGGATCCCGTATTGAGAAACTAGAAAAACCACAAAAGGTACTACAGTGTATGGTGTAAGTGTAGGTGGCCCTCAAACCCCGGGCGAGATCGATTCCACAGCCCGCGCACTGTTTTCGTTCATAGCAATCCGGCCTGGGCGGGTGTAGACTCTCACAATGCCGGGCACCTGTGTGACAACGGTGGAAGAATCCTGAAGCAGATCGATCCTTTTCTGCATAGGTGCCATGATTGTTGTTGTTATTATGTTTACGTAGTACTGTTGCTGTGGAATGTATTCGAATTTCTGTGGTCCACCGCTGTGCAACAACTCGAGGACCCAGCACTGGACGTGGAGCTCAAGCCCGTGGCTTCCTCGTCTCCATGCGATGATTTCTGGGCCTATTAGTTCGTCATCATCCTGAGATAGACTAGCGGAATCACCACCCTCGCATACCCTCATCACTTCTGGTGCCTGTTTCTAAGAAAGATATATGCATATGAATCTATGTATGTATGATATTATATGTAATACATATATACATATATATATATGTATATTCTGATCATTGCCGACATCTTTGTCGTCGGCGCCGACCTGATCCTGCCCCCCTCCTTGCTCGCCGGCTCGCTCGATCGTTTCTGTCTACATAGGGTTTAGGGTAAAGTTTCGGGGTTAGGGTTTATCTCTCTCTCTCGCTCTCTCCATCCCTCCCCCTTAGGATGGCCTTCACCGTCCGAATCGGCGACATCATCATCCTTGTGGATTTGCCCGGCTCTGTTTAATTCTGCTTCATGCGCGTTTCTAAGCCACGTCCTTGCGCAGTGCATCTTGCGAAGAATCATCGCCTGCCCTTGTGTGAACTTCTGCTACCAGAGACTTCACGTCGACTGAGGGCCCCCCCTAAGTCTCTTGGATAAACATCTTCATGTAGGACCTCACCCCGAAAAGTACGTAAATGATAGCCTTCTATACGAGTGGGGCCATCGCTTAGCCTAGGTTTTTTTGGGGGGGATAGGTAGGTCGATAACGTCTCGTCAGGGCTGAGGCTACAAGACGTCACGTTCGGTGTTGAGGTGTTGTTTGCCAGAGCTGGCCCATGGAAGCGGCTGTACTTATCGCAGTCATTCCAGCATACCCAAGATATTGAGCCAATGACTTAATGGTGGGCCCAGTATACAATGCTTATAATAAGGAGCCCTCAGAATAGTATTGGTATCTTTTCAGGCCCCCATATTAAGGGTCTCGGATTTAGGGCTAAACCTAAGCCTAAAACCCTAAACCCTCAAAAATCCTGCCTCTGGCCTTCTACGCCGAGAGCTCTTGGAACTTGGACGCTCGAGATTTCCGAAGTCGTGAGTGCCGTAAACCCTCCCCAGGATTCCTGGCCCTACGCTTGATGATGTAAATCCTAGGGTTCCTTTAAAGGGATGTATAAGGGTACCTTTCATAAGGGGGTCCTTTAAGGGATCTATAGGGGGTTTTAGGGTTTAGGGATATAAATCCTGCATTACCTTAAGGACCCTAGACGATGGAAATTATGGCATATCCCTTATTATGGGTAAGGCAGGATTTATATCATCAACCGTAGTCTATGGGTTAATAGAACTGGCTTCCTTTAACGGGCTCCTTTCTGCGGCTCCTTTCCGCGTTTCCTTTCAAGGGCTCCTTTAAGAGAATCCTTTTTGGGCTCCTTTAAGGTTTATCTAACAGGGTTGGTAGAAGGGTTTTGATTCTGGGGTTATGGTATATAGTAGTATGACTACAAAGGGAGCCCTAAGGAAACACATAACAACTACTCAACCTTCCTTTTTCAACCTCAGACCTTCATCCCCAATCCCCGAGGCCTTTGCTGTTCGGGCATTCCCCTAAAGCCGAAGCTCTAAACTCCATAAACCCGAAGCCCTAAACCCTAAAATCCTGAACCCTGGACCCTAAACACCAGACCAGAAACCCTGAACTTTAAATCCACAGCCCTCAAAGTACCTAAACCCTAAACTAAGAAGCCTAGAGCCTTAACAGAAACTCTACAGTAGAAGCCAAAAAGTTGGAAACCCAATAGCCTCGATCCTTAAGAGTAATGTATAGGGAATCCCAGCACTATTTGGCCTTAATCCGGTTTCCAACTTTACGGGGTTTACTGTAGAGCCTTAACAGAAACTTTAGACCCTCGGTCCGGTGAAGGCCCCCACCCTGAGGGTCCATGTACTCACAAAGACTATCTATAGGATATAGGGTTCCTTTAAGGGTTTCCTAGAAGGGAACCATAAGGGTTTAGGGTTTCGGAGTCCATGTGCTCAACAAAATATATAGATGGGTCTTCAAGCTGTCTCCATCTAAATGATATAGGGCCAAAATATATATGATGTCCGTTCACTTTGGCCTTAAAGTCCCTATATAAGTAGTTTGCACCCAAAATACATAATATGTCCGTTCATGGACCCTTAAACCTAAACCCTACAGCTACAAAAGAACCCTTATAGCCCTTATAGAACCCTATCTGGGTACATGGACCTTGTAGAGCCCTAAGCTAGGTTGACCCTTTAAAGCCGCTGAAACATATCCGTAAATAGGGTGCGGCCTGCCTAGTTCCAGTACATGGACCCTTATAGTAGAACCCTTATAGTAGCCCTTATAGGACCCTATTTGGGTACATAGAGCTTGTAGAGCTCTTATAGTACATGGACCTGAGGGCCATCTTTCTAAATGCAATTCAAAGGATTCGGACGGAAGAATCGGCCCCACCTCCCTGCGGCTCGAGGAGTCGAGGCTTTGGGTTTAGGGTTCCTTAAAGGGATCTATAGGGTTTATAGGGCTTTTTAGGGTTGAGGGCTTGGGTTTAGGGTTCAGGGATTTGGATATAAGGTGCTGGGATGTTCGGGTCTGGGTTTAAGGATTTAGGGTTTGGGGTGCAGGGATTTAGAGTCCAAGGATTTAGGGTTCAGGGTTTAGGGTTCAGGGATTTAGGGTTTAGGTTCATAGAGATGATGGGGTTTAGGGATCTAGGGGTTCAGCTTTTAAGGCTGATAGGGTTTAAAGTTTAAGGTGTAGGGTTTAGGGTTTAAAGTTTAAGATGCAAGGCTTAGCAATCAAGACCTCTCATGCATTGAGATTATTTGCTCCCCTGGCTCTCAAAACGTAGTTGCAGCTTTCTGACATGACACCGCTGCCTGATACAAAGAGCGTTCTGTTCTGTTCAACTGATATCTATTCTACATCACATCTAGTGACTAGTGAAGCAGCTGATGACCCAAATCCAATCTCGGCAGCCTCAAAACCCACAGCGACAAGCCTAAGCTGGCCCCAAGCTGAACCTTATGCCATATTCAAAGATGCTACTTCTCAATTCGACCAACGCTGCAAACCCCAGAGCGGAAGCTGTAGAGTTTAGGCTCGCAGGTTGCAAGACACTCCAAGGATCGCGACTTGAAAGCTTTCCCCATGCCAATGTCAGTTTTTTGTCGTCACGATTGCGTTTCAACTTACTTTCCTGTTGGGATACCTGCGAAATTACCCCACCAAAATTAGGGTGAAGTGTCCGGGGAGGTAATACAATCAAGCAATTGAGGGAGGATGTGGGCGTCGGAGGCAGGACGGGGCTGCGGCCCCAGCCTCGCGATGAGCTGAGGCGCAACAGGCGGCATAGGGCGCACCACATGCGTCTGATACGATAGAAACCGCGCTGTCTGTGCCCCAGACTCACACATGCGCACCCTCCGAGCAATGCCTGCAGCCGGCCGAGCACACTTGGACCTGAATCCTACGACATGTAAAGCAGAACCATGAAAATTACTCAGAGTCTTCTATACTGAACTTAGAACCCTAGCAAAAACTTTAATTTTAGCTGCTTCTTAGGGATTACAATAACCAAAAATTAAAAATCATTTCTAAGTACCCCTAAGTCTTATGCAGGCAGGCTGCAGAACAGGTCGACCACACGAAGGAACAAGCAGCGCAGCAAACAATAACAGCATGAAACACAGGTCACAGAGACACCACCATCATAACCACGAGCGCAAAGAAAGGCAAAGAAGCCCTGTCCATGTCCCCGGCGTCCTTTCAGCATCCCTATCCCCATCGTCGTTATCTTCCGATGCTTGTCGTTCCAACACCAATGCATGGCCCGTGATATGTGCATGCAGACATGTATGAATAATATGTCTGCTTAAAAAATCAAAAAATGTATATACACATTATATATGACTATGTGCAGTAGCAAAAGTAGCAGCGGTCGCAAGTGGAACAGCAGCAGCAGCAGGAGTAGCAGCAGAAGCAGCGGAAAATATAGAACAAGACAGTGACGAAGTCGTAAAACCCATAGCAATTCAATTATAGTATGGCTATCAGCATTACTACTAGAAAGAGTAGTAGTAGTAGTAGTAGTAGTAGTAGTAGTAGTAGTAGTAGTAGTAGTAGTAGTAGTAGTAGTAGGAGTAGCAGTAGCAGTAGTACTAGTAGTAGTAGTAGTAGTAGTAGTAGTAGTAGTAGTAGTAGTAGTAGTAGTAGTAGTAGTAGTGGTAGTGGTAGTGGTAGTGGTGGTGGTAGTAGTAGTAGTAGTTGTAGTTGTTGTTGTTGTTGTTGATGGTGTTGTTGTTGCTGTTGTTGTTGTACTTGTTGTAGTTGTTGTAGTTGTAGTTGTAGTTGTAGTTGTAGTTGTTGTAGTTGTTGTTGTTGCTGTTGTTGTTGTACTTGTTGTAGTTGTTGTAGTTGTAGTTGTAGTTGTAGTTGTAGTTGTAGTTGTAGTTGTACTAATAGTAGTAGTTGTTGTTGTTGTTGTTGTTGTTGTTAATGTTGTCGCTTTTGTTGTTGTACTATTACTAAGTAGAAGTAGAAGCAGAAGTAAAAGTAGAAGGAGACCGAGAAGGAGAGGGGGAGGTAGAGATGGAGGCAGAGGTAGAGGTAGAGGTGGTAGTAGTAGTAGTGGTAGTAGTAGTAGTAGTAGTAGTAGTAGTAGTAGTAGTAGTAGTAGTAGTACTGTAGTAGTAGTAGTAGTAGTAGTAGTAGTAGTAGTAGTAGTAGTAGTAGTAGTAGTGGTAGTAGTAGTAGTAGTAGCAGCAGCAGCAGCAGTGGCAGTGGCATTGGTAATGGTAGTGGTAGTGGTAGTAACAATATCGGCAGTAGTAGACATAGCAAAGATAGTACTAAAAACAGACAATGACAATAGTAGTGGTAAATAATATAAATAGTTTTATAATAATTTTGTAAAATCAACATCGTAATCATAACAACAATAATGGCAGTAGTCGTCGTCGTGGTGGGTGGTGGTGGCCGTTGTCGTGGATAGGTGGCGGTGGATCGGGTAGGGAGGGTAGGGGTAGGGCTGGGGTAAGGGTAGGAGAGGGGTATAGGTACGGGTTGGGGTAGCGGTAGGGTATAGTGGTAGTCGTAGTGGTAGACGCGAGCAGAAGTGTTAATGTTCACCACAAGTCACTTTCAAAACAGGCCGTGCATGCCAAAAAACATATAACTCGGTTTCTGGCATATTGGTTGAGCTGTTTTTTCTGAAGATCTTCTGGAGGCCTCTCTACTACCCCATCAGCACAGGGGGCGGCTGTGAATGCATCGTCTGCAGTTGGTGACTGACTATGATCTTTCGCGGTTTCAGGTTCAGTGAACAGCCGGCACGAATTAATCTTTGTACAACCCGAAGGTTCAAGCATCTGTTGGGCTTCTAATGCAGGAGGCGACTCCTTCGGATCTGCGAACCAGTGCTTCGCAACCAGTTTCTTTGCTGGAGAAAGCTAAACTTTAAATCCTAAACCCTAAAAGGTACCCTAAACCCTAGAAGGTACCCGAAACCCTAAATCATAAATCCTAAAAGGCTGTGGGTTTAGTTTAGGGTTTTTGGGTTTAGCTACCGCAAAACCAAAGAGTACTTGCTCTGGCAGCAGCCCCATTTTCTGAAATCCCCCGTGCTCTTCAGCGAACTCGGGCAGCCTAGTTGGAGCCGCCACCTTGTGCGAAGAGTGCTGCACTTAAGCACACCCTGCGCGTTGCCATCGCATGGCTCCGACTTTTCGGGTCTAGGGCTTCTCGGAAGGGTGACCCCTACAACCCTAAGGGTCCAAGTACCTAATAACCATATACTCTCCCAAATGGTAACCTACATAGCTACTATCCGGAACCTAAGTACCTGATAATTGGGTCCTTTGGATCCTTAGGGCAACACTTCAGACTAGGGCTATATAGGACTTTCAGGACAGTTTTAAGTTTCTGCTTTAATGTGTAGTGCACCTTTGACTCCATGACTCCATGAGTGCCCAGCTTGAGGATTTAGACTTAGCTGTTTAGCTAGACCTATTCGTAACCCAGAATACAAAGGATGCCCTTTCTGGTTTAAAGGATGTTATAAGGTAACCTAAGCCCGAAAAAAGGGAATAAGGGCCTACTCTGAGTACTAGTTAGCGGCACCTTTATAGTAGATACTTAGGCCTTAAAGGTCGCTATATAGATACTTTAAGGCCTAAGTATATGCTATATGGGTACATGGAGCCTTGGGTGATGCTTAGGGAACATCTTAACCCCCAAACTGATGCCAAAATGAGACTCTAATGCCAGCGCGTGCACTCACCCCTGGACGAATTTCTCCTCTGTCCCGTAATGAAGAAGTCATCCGCTTCCTAGCGATATGACTTCCTTCATGAATCTTCTGGCTGAGGGCTTCGAAGCTTGCCGGCTTAGGGTGTCTTGAGGTTAAGAGTGTAGGCTTCGGGTTTGGGGTATAGCGGCTGAGTGCTTTAAGTCAATCTAGGGCGTGGGGCGTTGGAACTGAAGTCGCCCTGGACCCTGAGTCGCAAACATCAGTCACAGGTGGACTGATTGGGAGAGGCCCATAACGTGCTGGAGAGGATCTCCAGCCGGATCCTGGATTGCACGGTGGATGGCTTTCCCAAAGGGTCCAAAGTACCTTTATAGTAGAATGTAGAGTTGCGATATTAGGAATTACTATTATGATTTGGGGAAGGATCTCCCATAACAGTACTTTGGACCCTTTGGGTTTGGACATCAGAAGGTCTACCTTATAGGTTCCTAATTATAGTATAATGTAGGTTAAGCATAACACTCCATTACAAAAAAGAGACTACAGCTAGTCCGTAAGCCTACAGCAGCCTGAGTGCTCCGTCACTCGCTTTTCTCGCTTTTGGGGCGTGGTGATCCGATGCGCGGTCGCAGCCCTTTAGGATGCAGTTAATTAAGAAAAAGGTGAAACAAGTGAGAGAACGGTGATTGCTGCCTGCCCATAACCCTGAGCTGCCCGAATGTCCAGGACTGAAGGCCGGGTAAGTCCAGAAGAGCATTGACACAGGCTGAGGGATGTGATCGGAGGGCGATGGATGTCGGTACTCCGTGGTGGAGCAGGCGAACAAAGAACCGCAAAAGGTCCCCCACGAGGCTGGCCGAGGAGAGCCGATCAGAAAAGCCACTAGCCGGGAAGTCCAAAGGGTTCTCAAACTCAAGGCCAGAAAGACCCCGCAGGAGAATGAAGAAGCAAACCTCCTGAAAAGGACCATCGAAGAACGAAGGCAAATTCCCTGAATTCACTTCTTTGATGCATTCCTCATGGGAGAAGAACACCATGTTCGGGCCGAGAACGAGTTCGGCCTGAGTTTCCCAGGCAAGAGGCGCAATGACACAGAAAGTGGGTGCAGGGAAATCCAACACCGGAGGAAGACTCACTGCAGAGAGGTCAAGTAGGCCCAAAGAGACAGCAGCATCTTGGAAGGTGCAGAGCCGTGGTGCCTGGTTCACAGGATCTGGAACAAGCCATTCGACAAAGTCCGATTGGAGAAGCCAGTCCAAGTGAAATTGCAGTCGAGCACGCATGTGCGGGTAGCATGCATCAATAATGCCCTGCCAAGCAATCACTGTGAGGTGAAGTCGCCCTGAGGGCGCACACACACAAGAAAACGATGCCCGAAGGCGGCTCCAGATGTCCTGATCCGCGAGAGAGGACAGCAGACCATCGTGATCCAGCAAAGAAAGACACTCAAGAACCTCAGCAACCGGTGACGTTCATCGTCTACCTCAAGGAGTGTCAGGGGAAGTCTCGGGCCCGCAGCTTGAAGAGCAGGGGCCTGCGTGCGTCCGGGGTCTTCCGCCTTACGGCTACCAAGACCGGGCTCTACTTCACAGGAAAAGCCATGCTGGAGCAGTTTGAGACGACATCGAGGTGTGAAGCGCAGGTGTCGACACAACTTAACATTCGTGCCAAAGTGCTTTAGGCAGGCCTGGCACTGGGTGCCTGATAGGATGCCACGGCCCTCCATTACACGATGATGAGTCTTGAAGGCATGAAGACTCCAACTATTGTAGTTGGCGAAGATACGCCGGCATGGGGCACAACACTGGCGACCATCAGAAGATGGGGGCGGCGGGTGTGCTAGAGCACCCCCCATGGTGCGCAGCTGGCGTACAAGTAGACCGGCGTTGTATAGTCGGGCAGAGTCCCATGAGGAAAGTCTGACGTCTTTCGCCTGAGCTTTTCGCAGGAGGGATTTCCATCGCCCAGGATGCTCACGCATCAGACCGTACCAGTCCGGCCACAGGCAGTCCCAGGTCATACCGGGCGGGCCAACTAGTGCAGCAAGCCATGCCAGGGACTCCCGAACATCATGAAGCCAGTTCCCATCCCAATGAATGAGAGCCCAAAGCTCATCCATGCCAATGCGAACACAAGGGAGCAGCTGACGCAGGCGGGCCACATGCAGCAAAGTGTGAATAGAGGGGAGTCCCATAATAGCGAGGATGCGGGCAGGGCCCTGGTGTAGGGCCTCCTCAAACGAAAATCTGGGGCGAAGCATTTTAGCCGCCATGAGAGTGTGGGCAGAGGACAGTGCCCGGATGGTGGCAGTGTCCACGTTGACCCAGGTTCCTGCCCCATGCAGCATGGTGGATAGGACAAGAGACTCATATAGGCTGGTTTTGCTCTCAAAAGGGACTGCAGGAGACTGAAACACCTTGGTCTTGTGCTTCTGGAAAGCCTCATGTGCAAGGCTCACTCTGTGTCGGGCTTCTCTTAGGCCCTTGCCTGTATGGTGAATGAGACCCCCCAGATGCTGGTACTGGGTTACCAGTCTCACAGCAACTCTACCTGCATGGGCAGAGTGAAAGGACAGGCAGGGGTCTTTGTCCCGGAATACCTCAGCTTTGACCTCACGGGAGCCCGGTCCCATGGGAACGAGAAGGATTTCAGTTTTACCTCTGCCGAAGTTGGGGACTAGTCCACGGCTAAAGCAACAATCGACCAGAGCCTGGGTTGCCGATCGGGCTGCTGCAGGCAGGTCTTTAGCCGCGGAGACTTTGACCATAAGAGCAAGATCGTCCATCCACGTTGAATCCATGACAGCCAGGGATTCGGATGCCCCATGGCTACTCAGGATACGCCCTACATGACCCTTCCAAGAAGCGTCCCATGGAAGCTGCACGAGAACTAAGCTCCTGCTTGAGGTCCTGCAAAACACAAGCAAAGAGATATCCAAAGACAAGGTCAGCGCAGTTGTCTCCTGGACGGCTGCCGACGCCGGTCTGGACAACTGTCTCACTTCGCCTGAACCGGAACCAGGTGCTGTCAAGGATTTCCGACAAGGACTGTGATGTCCATTGAGATGCAGCAGCCGGGATCGACTCTGTGGAAAGGTGCCGGTGTAGGGCCGCAAGAACATCAGAGGGGAGACGAAGCTGGGCTGCAGCTGATGCAAAAAGCTCATCATTAAAGGATGACCCTGTGAAAAGCGGTCTTATGACTCGATAGAAAGCCTCCCGAAGGTCCAAAAAGATGATGGCATAGCTGACACGATGCCTCTGGGCTCCACTCTGAAAAAGGCGTATGGCCTGAGAGGCCATAGTCACAGGCATGCAGGGGAGTCCTCCTATTTGCATCGGTGAAGATATTGAAGCAAGGGGCCCGACTGCCCTCGCTCGAACCGCACGGTGCAGGGATTTCCCAACGCAGGAGGAAACAAGGATCCCCCAATGAGCTTCCGGTTTAAGGGGGGAGAGCTTCCCCTTCCAAACTGTATGTAGTGCCCCTCCTTTGAAGGATAGGGGTTCCGCCATACGCATGCCAATTTTTAGGGCAAGCTAAGCAAGAACGCGGGACGAAGCTGAGGCGGCGTAATGGAGGATTTCCCCAGGTAGGTCGTCAACTCCAGTCGCTCGGCCCGGGTGCGTGGATCTGAGGGATGCTTCAAGCTCCCACCGGGTGGGTAGATCCTCACGCTGTATGGACAGGTCGTCCAGGTCCCTTCGGAGTTGTCGGCGCAGGCAGTCAGAAGCGAGATCTGCTGGAGCAATGACTCGGCCATCTTCTACGCCTGCAAAATGTTGGATCCAGATGGATTCGGCCTCCTCCGGAGTGGTGGCGGGCTTGCCGGCTGTATCATGTATAACCGGCAGGCTTTGACGGCCGCGACATCGGCGTTTGGACGGCCCCAACAGTGGGCGTAGGGCAGCAAGAGTCTCCGATGGAGGGGCCCGAGCAGCTGCGGCTGCCGCATTCTGTATCCTCTGTTCTTGATCATGGCGGATGGCTTGGCGAAGTTCATGCTTCGTGGTACGCATGTCCGCCGCAAGCAGCTGCAAGGCCAAAGAGGATGATGCAGCAGAAATGCACACACCAACTTGGCCAACAATTAACCTGAGGTCTCTTCGCCAGGCTCGGAAGGCACCACATATGGTAGCTAGGGATATATGATTGCGCAGACGGAGGATACCTCTACGCAGCCAGACCCTGCGTTGTCGGAGCAGCCAGGTACCGGTGCTGAAGTGAGACGAACGACAGCTTCCTCGCTTCGAGGGGAAAGCCTCGAGCAAGGAGGTCCTCAGGTGTTTCTCGACGAGACTCCAGTGTCGGTGGACATTCATGTTCCACGGAGGGCTTGGGGCCGCCTCCCAAATGGAAGAAAGGACACGCTGTCCTTCTGGTGTGGCAAGTGCCTCTCGATCAATGGAACAGGAGGCTCGGTTATCCCTTGCGCTGAGATGTGCGAAGAAGGCAACATCGAGGCGTACAGCATAATGGTCCACATGGGACTGCCCCCAGTCTAGGTCATGGTGTACCTGTGAGGCACCCGGTGCAACTCCCCAATGAGAGGGGACAGCGATGAAGTCGATCCTGGAGCCATGTAGGCCGTTGGGGGTGGTCCATGTGATGCTGGGACCATGATGACACTCGCTGAATGTGCTGGGGATCCACAAGTCTTGTCGTCTGAGTAAGTCAAGCAGCCCGTTTGGAACGCAATCAGAGCCTGGCCATACAAGGTCCCCTATGTGATCATCCCTGGGAGCGCTGAAGTGTACATTAAAGTCACCCAAAAGTACTACCTGCCCATTGCCCCTGAGGCGTGTGACTTTGCTCGAGAGGGCCTTCCACCACTGTGCCCTGTCCTTTGCAGAAGCAGTAGGAGCATGGATAGCAGTGAAGAGGACATTCAGACCTCGACGAGCGAGTCGCACAATGAGGGTGCGGGGGTCGGAATGAACGACCAACAAGTCGGACAGCTGGAGATGGATGTGATGCTGTGCGGACGTGGAAATGGGGAGGCGTTTGGCTACCCACAGTTCGACGCCGTAGTGGCCTTGTGAGTCCCTTCCGGAGCACAATCTAACATGGCTGTGGGACTCCACAGTTTCATCCTGACGTGCCCTTGTTTCCTGGAGAGCAGCAATGTGTACCCCGTGATAGGCAAGTTGCTCCCTGATGTAAGCGGCCTTACCTTTGAACTTGTCATCGCCGGGAGGATTGGGCAGCTCTCCATTAGGTGCAAGTGTCTGCACATTGACAGAGAGTAAGCGCAAATTGATGGCGGTAGTGACAGCATGTGCCTTGGAACCTTGTGAGGCCGGCAGGCCCAGCCACTCCCGGCTCTCAGCCTCCGTGGGTGGCGAAGTATCTGCAAAGCGGTCGTGGTCAGTGAAGTCTCGTCCGACGTGGCAGGGCCAGGCAAGGGGACATCGGACAGAATCGAGAAGCATCCACCACCAATCAAGATGACCTTGTCTGAGTACTGCTGCGAAGGAAACCTGGAATGGGGTGGTGGGGTCCAATTGACCTCGGCAAGCCCATTTTGCCGCCGCATCAACAAACTCATTGGCAGGATGGCCAACATGAGATCGCACGTGTCTCACTTCATGGAAGTCGACATCGGAGGAGAGCAGGGCCTGGCATAAGGCTCGGATGCCTTGGGAGAGGGTGCAGTCAAGGGGTTGCTGTAGGGCGACCAGGCAGTCTGACCAGACAAGTACAGGAACATGTTTCGGCCCTTGGACTAGCCATGCCATGGCCCAAAAGAGGGCTGAGGCTTCCCCCCGTAAGGCATCGTGCTGAGTCGCTCCAATATATGCCTCGGAGGCGGGATCAGTGACAACGAGGCCCGCAATCCAACCCAGTGCATAGACGTCTCGGCCGTGCCAGCCTAGCACAAGAAATGCCCAGCTGCTGACAGTGCCATTGAAGGAGCCATCTGTGAAGACATCAATGCGAGAGAACAGGGGAGCGATGTCTGTCTCTGGGTCCGGCAGGGGCAATTGCAACATGTGCTGGATAACCTGTGCAGAGGCCACAGTGGTCGGAGGTCGGAAGGAACAGATCGGCGTAAATCCCACTGGTCTCGGCGAAAGAAGGGTAAAACATCATCAAGCGTACACCCTAGTCGAAAATTGACACCGGAGACATCGAAACACCTACTGGCATCAAGTAGGTTGGCAAGGTAGAGGACCTCACCTGGCCTGTCCTTGCAGGGAGCAGCAAGACACTTAGGCGAATCTATGCCCGCAGCTGTAGGTGAGGTGCGGTCTCCCCTTGTACCGAAGTTCGGAGGAGACCTTTTCTCCTTGTCTGGCCTAGTGCAGTGTTCGATCAGAGTCTCAAGAAGAGTCGCTGAGAGAAAAGCCCAATCAGAGGAGGATGCCACGGACTCTTCCAGAAGTGTGCACGCAGTCGAAAGATCTAAGGCACCAACCCCAGAATTGTCAGCAACAGAAGAAGTCCCCTGCTGGGGTGTCATGTGGGCTGTTGAACTGGATGGCATCGTGGTACGATCAGGCAGAGCTCGACTGTTGTCTGCCCTGAGGAAGCTATTGCGGCAGGGGGTCGCAACCTTTCGGATTGGAGCAGAAACAGCGACAGCAGTGAGAGCAGCTGTTGTCATGCAGGAATGTGGGCCCTCAGCATGGGCTCCACTTGCAACACAATGTGGTGTGCTGATGCTGCCAAGCTGGACTGCAGCGGCTGGCTGGGTTATTCCTATGAGGAAAAGGAAAACCACAAAGGTAAGGGACCTAGGGCTTCTGAGAGACAGCTTCCTCCTGATGGAGGGCCGTGTCTGGCCGGACTCAGCACCCCGAGTGATAAGCAGAAGCGACAGCAGCAAGCGCAGGAGGACAGGGGTGAGACAAAGGATGCCAACTGGATTGGCGTGCTGGGGAGAACCGTAGTCCCACTTGTCGTCTCGACTGTGCATTGTGGCGTCGGGAGCGGTGTGATACGGAGATCCACCGGAGTTTGGGGTCGCATCCGCAGGACGGATAAGAGCGACCACAACAAGAAGGGCAGCGAGTCTGCGAGTGCTGGGCTTGGCAGGGGCAGCAGCAGCACAGGGCAGAAGCCAGGCAGCTGCCGACCAAGGCTGGGCTAGCACAAAGAGATATGCAAAAAGCAGACCCAGGAGGACAGAGGTGGTTGCTACCCTGTAACAAGAACCAACAGGATCAACAGAATGGCATAACCACATGACTACTCGACTGAAGGTCATTTTGCTGCTCAAGCCAACTAAGACATTGAATCTGGTGGAGCCTCCAGTTCCAGCATCAGGATCGACGGGAGTAGTGCCATGAGAGGCAGCAGCACCAGCTGAGCGGTCGGTGGAGCTGGCATCTCTGCCGTCATCGGAGGAGTCCTCTGCATCACTGGAATCAGAGGAGTCAGGAGGGTCAGAGGGACCTGAATCGTGTGGATGCATGGTTGCCCTCGCCTCTGCATGGGTGAGGTATTCTATCTCGATAACCTCCCCGTCTCTGACATCAAAAGGAGAGAAGAAAGGCTCTGTGTGACCATCATCTCTGGTGCACCCTACAGTATGACCAACTGGGCAGCGCGTCACATAACGTGGCAGTAAGGACGCAGGGTCAAGCCGACCTGAAGGAACCCATACCCAGCTGAACCCAAGCAGGATAGGTCGTTGGTCAATAATGATCAAGGGGGCTCGAGGCGAATGAAAGGTCAAATCCTCTTCTAAGATGTGGGCAACAAGCACCGCCTTGGAGACCGAACCCGCATGCATGTGGTTGCTGATCGAGGGGACCGCTGGACGAAGCAAGAGCCTGGTCGGTGGACATCGAAGCACCAAAGCCAAGTCCTGACGAAGGACGTGACGTCGTCCTCGCCTAACAAGAAATGCAAAATGGGCAGAGTCGGCAAGGATCCAGGAATGGTCTCTGAAGTCAGCAGGGTATTGCACTCGCGGGTTCCACCCCGCCGTGCTGAGCAACATGTCGGGTAAATGCGTGGTGACCACGACGTTGTGCACTGGGGGAAGGATGAGGATCAAATCTGCGGTTTGCAGCATGAGGCGAGTGTCATGTTGCAACGGCCAAGGGGTATCGTTGTGGAAAATGAAGGCATCATTGTCGTCCTCTAGACCTGCTAGTCTGAGGATGTCCTGTCGGCGAACCAGGGGTGGACAGTCGAGAGCAAAGAGCCGACCATCCAGCCTGGACTCAATGCATATAATGACGCCAACGGTTTCCCATACGGGTGCTGCGATAAGAGTGCCCCACGCTGCAGATGTCTGTGTGAAGACCGGGATGAGTCTCGGAAACCGTCTGCGAGTATGTGGAAGGCGGCCAGCTGAAACCCTTGCTAGAGTAGCATGGAGGTCTTGGGGGATGGAGACTCGAACCCGAACAATCTCAGGAGTATATTCGGGAACCAGGATCATGAAAGGGGCATCAACGAACCCATCTGAGGACACTGCATTTGATGGCGAATGAGTGTCATGCTCTGTCAGGGAAGTAGCCTCCTGTACATGATCCTGGCCTGTGGCAGGGTGCCTGGAGTCTGTCGACGTTGCCGGAGCCGCAGAAGGTGCCGGTTGGTGGGCAGAGGAGGTACCTGTGGGCTCCCTGTCACCGTGTAGCATGCCCTCTGTAGGGGGACTCACCTCACATAGCAGGACCTGACCTGGCTCAACCTGAAAGAGTAGATCCCCCGGTGGCACTTCGGGAATGGCCAGTTCCCACAAGCGAGGTACCATGGGGCTCAACAATGTTGACCTGATCTACTTCGAGGAATCCTCCTCGTGCAGGGAATGCAAACCAGCCACTATCAAAGGCTCGGCAGTCGAGAATAACATGGCAATCACGATCCCAATGAAAAGTGGGATGTTTGATGGCAGCAGCAAGGACTGTGCGGCACGGGACCCCATTCAGCATGGCGTCGGAGACCCTCGGCCTGGCGGGGTAGATTGCAAGTTGGTCCTCCTCCGTGCCTAGGGCTCTGGCAAGATGCTGGCGGTGTAAGGCAGGTTGGGCCTCCTCATATGTGAGAAGGACATGCTGGTGCTCACATGCAACACAGAAGGCGACCCGGTCGTCCGCAGAAAGTTCGAAGTGCTGCGACCATAAGCTGGGTCTCTGAAGCATGTGTTCAATAGTAATGAGGCTAGGCAGCACAACCGGCGAAGGCACAAAAATCAGAGCAAGGCCATTGCAGACGTGGAGTGCTGTGTCCCCCTCGAGCAGCTCGAGGGAGGGACCAACATAAACCTGCACTGCACTGCTGGCTGGGAGATCAAGAAGGTGAAGAGCTGTCCTGCGATCAACATAGGGAGGGGCGAAGGCGGAAAAATGCCTGCCATCCCAACGGACCGCATCAAGGTACAGGAGCCGCTTCTCAGTGGGCCACGGAGGCAAAGCAAGATAGATTCCAGCGCCTTCAAAGGTCTGAGGTGATGCGGGCACCAAGTCTGGAAAGGTCCTGACCTTTCTGGGATCCCTTTCGGCCTGTATCTGTCTTATCCCTTCACCTGGGGTTGAGGGGAAGTGGAAGGCCAGGGTCAACCACTCAGGGGCATACTGGGGAGCATAGACTAAGATGGTGGCCCATGCAATGGATTCCGAATCAGAAGCATCCGATGCAGAGTCCGAAGGCGAACGGTCAAGTCTAAAGGGGTCGCCTTCGTCTGGGAATGGCCATGGGTCGCCAAAGTCCCTGGTGACACGACGGAGATTCTCAAGACGACGTCTATCACCTGCATGTCGGCACACCGGGTTTGTCAACAGTTTGCAGCCTCGAGGTTGAAGTCCTGCCTTCCTACGGAAGTAGGCAGCCGTGAAGCAACCTAAGGCTGTCACGAAGAGAGCAGAACTAACAAATAGAATGCTGACCTCTGAGGCAGGCCATGTAAGCCATGTCAGGGCTGGCATGGGTGACAGAATGCCCGAGCCACAGCCTATAATGCCCGTATCCCGTACTATGTCGGCAGCAGCAGAGCTGGGCAGAGAAACCAGACAAAGCATCCCGCTCGCCGCCGCACCAATCGGAAACGGAATATGCTCTGCATTGCCAGTGTTGTGTCTCGTCCGACTGCGAGATCGAGAGGCCGAGCGGCGAAACCGAACATCATCGGGAAATAGATGTTCACCATCGGAATCGGCTGGAGCGGTCGTAGTGTCTTGACCTTCGGAGTGTTCGTCCTCTTCAGAGTCCTCGTCGCTGTCGTCAGTGGTGGGAGAGAAGTGCTCGGACGGCTGGTCAGAGTCCAAGGAATACTCAAACCCAAAGACAAGCGTGGCCCCATGTCGAAAATCAAGGCGACGTCGGCGAAGCCTGCCTCCCGTGACACGGAGGAACCATCCTGGAGGAGGCCGTTGACTGACCAGGCCTGCTAGATCCTCGCGAGGGATAAAAGGCTGGCCAAGCACTAGAAACCTTAGGCTGGAGGCAACCTGGCGAAGGTCTAGGAAAACCACGTACTGAGGACAGTCAGGGGGGAGCAGAGTGGGTTCTATGAATGCTAAAACCCCCCGAACTCCAACACCCTGATGGCACAGACGGTCGCATCCTTCATCTGCAGGCGTGTGAATCTCTACAGAGTTGCGGTTGACCCCAATGAAAAGCGCTGCTGCTTCATCTAGAGGAGTATCTGTAACTTGTGGCTTGTAGAGAAAGCGGCCTGTTCTATGCAGAAGCAGAAGGGCCTGGCGTGACACTGTAGGAATATGTGGCGGGTGATCTGGCCACATATGGGGCAGCTGGAGGCGATACTGAAGATCTGTGGAAAAGTCCGGCAGGGTATCGTCACCGACAAAGGTGATGACACATCCATTGGAGAGTGTAACTGCTTCATCCTCCTCAAGAGGGCGTGTTTCAGTCCCCAAATAGAGACGGCAGGGATGAGTCCCAAAAAGTCCGGCTTGCCTGAGGAGCTCTGCCCGGCACGTCGGCCTGGTGACATAGACTGCAAGGAGTGGTCCTGGTCTATTAGGGTGGGCATTGCGTAAATCAAGGCAGACAGCCGAGATAGCAGCAAAAGCAACCCAGGAGGGGACTACTAGAAGCGTGGCGCACATTGGGACAGGCTGGGGCCTGACCGCAAGTACCCTGTCGCAAAAGGGAAGCCGAAGGGCCCCAAGATGCCGCTCAGCCTCATCTGTCAAATCCTCAATGTCGCATGGGAGTCCTAAGGGAAATTTAAGGATCTCAGGTAAGAACCCTGGGCAGAGCGCAAGGGCTGTGCAGTTGACATGCCGTACCGTTGCCCCCAGCCTGACAGGGGTAGGAGGCGGCGGCCCACGTGGAAGATTGAGTAGAGGGTGTGCAATGTCTCTTGTGGGCTCAACTGGGTAGCCCACAGCCTCTGCGAGTGGATCTGGAGGATCAGGGTACCTCCTGGGAGGCAGCTCACCGGTATCTGCCAGTGCTCCTGGAATGGTAGCCGGAAGGCCCTTGGGAGCACTCCAAACACAGAGGGGAATGCTCCAACACAGGAGGAAAGAAAGAAGGACAGAGAAGAGCCCACATCGTGAGGCAGGCAATCTCCTGGCAGAGGCCGTCGGACCTGACCTGCTCCCAGAGTTCTGCCATCGTAGACAATGCCCAGAGGGGCTACACACCCAGCCTAGGCTCAGGAGCACATGTTCGGTGGGTGCTGGGAAACATTGATCTGCAGACCCGGCGTAGCGGTCGGAGCATAAGTCGAAGGAGGGAGATGGAGAAAATGAAGGCCGAGAACGTCAAGGAGTCCACCGTGTGGGACAGCAGCGCCACCAGAACCGAGGTCATAGGAGTCCAGTTGGACTCGCAGGAATGCCGGCACCTAAAGACAAGGAGGTGCCCGTGAACTAGGACCCAAAATTCCCAGGGAGTCCAGGGCTCTAAACCCAAAGGGGAGCAGGAGAATCCTATGGGAGGTCCTATAAGGGTAGGCTCTCCTATCAAGAAGGCGATGCGTGAACAGCAGCCAAAAGAAGGGGCGCCTTGGTTCAGAGGCTGCCGTGCTTGGTGCGAGGCCACGGAGTGAATAGCACAAACCGAATGCTCTCCACTCCTGGCAGAGGAGACAATGCCAAAAGAGAGATTGGAAGTGCAAACCCAACACTTCCATATCCCGCGTAGGCATGGCGATATGCCCAATGCCGGGCATGAGGTACGTAGGCAAGTGGGAAGATGGGCATGGCCAAGCCTGTGACTCGGAAGGCAGTGTGGCTCTATGGCTTGGCAGGCAGCATACGGAGGAGTGGTAGAAGATCTCCTGGCATGGCGGGGGCCCACCCAGAGGCATTCCAAAGACCAAGGAACACCCAAGGCGGCCGAGGACGACAGAAGCAAGGCCGACTCTTGAAGAGTCCGAAGGATGGCAGCCTACCCGGTCAACCTGTCCTTTCACAGGTGCATTTGGAAAAGGGTGAAACAAGAGGTATCTCACAGTCCTTGTTGCCCAGTCGTGACTGTAATCACATTGACCGGGGGGGTAGCAAGCACAGCGAAACTTCTCCCAAGAAGTCTCAGCCGGTTCTTGCCCCCACAGCCTGTAATCACAGCAACAACTGGGTGTGAGGTCTGTAGACACCTCTACCTGCATCACTCCAGTTTGCCAAAGCCAGGGGACGTGTGGTTGAGTTCCTCGAGATCTGCCTCTTCTGTGGTCGTTGGTCCCGAACCCATGTTGCCCGGTATCGGGTTGGGGACTGGCAGACCAAAGGGTCGCATGGCATTGCCCTGCCATTCCTGCTGTCTCCGTTCCTCGAGCTTTTCGCTTAGACCTTTGTGTGCAGCCTGTCGCTGAGGCGTTGTCCTCGTGGCTGTCTTGATGTCTGTTCTTGGCGGTGCCCCCGACGATGGAACTCGAGTCTGGCCAAGGTCTCGTTGTCCCGGATGAAAACCACTGGGTATCTCCGTTCTCACATGTCCTGCTGGACTGGATTCTCGTAGTGGGCCAGTGGCTGCTGGAGCACTCTCTTCTGCAGGGCCATGTGGTGGGGGGGGACGGTCCGCCCCACCAAAGTTCGGCATACCCTCTGTACGTTCTCCATGAAGTGGGTCCTGCATTGCACCAGCTGGCGGACCTTGAGGACCAGCCTGGGCCCAAAAGGCCGCTTGGATATCCGGATTGGCAAAGAGCTGCTGGAGAAACTCCGGTCGCAGCTTCTTTATCGGAGCCGTGGCAGGGTCCGAAGTTGGAGCTCCATGAGGAGGAGGGGCATCTCCTAGGTGTGGAATGCACGTTGGAAGACACCATCCATGTCGACATCCTGCGATTTCTCCCAAGTCTCCCTCATCGACTCCCACTCTGCTGCTGAGGATCTCTGCTGCTGTTCCTGCTTGGTGGGCAGCGTCGGTTCTCCATGGTATACGCAGCGGATCTCTCGCCTTGCATCCTCTTGGTGCTGCATGGCTGTCTCCAAATCTTTCTGGATTCTCGCAGAGTCCGTGAGGTAGCGCTTGTGCTCTTGGATGTAGGTTCTTTCCAACTCGTCTTTGTACGCCGCCCATTGTTGAGCCCGCTTTTCCTTCTGTTGGGCGAGACTTCGGACACGTCCTTCCGCTTTGCGAGCCGCTGTCAGGCTGCGTTGGAGATCCGAGAGTGTGCTGTCTGGGACAAAAACCGAACCCGCCGCCGAGGAGCTGCCTGCCAAGTTCTCCTTGGGCTCCAGCTGTGTATAGCTCGGAAAGTTGGGCGCCTTGTTCGCATCCCTGCGCCATGGTGCTCGTGGAGAGTATGCACCTTTCCATATGGCTTCCTTGGGCAAGTAAGGTACATGTCCATGCCCATACCCATCGTCTTGCCAGGCATCTTTGGTGTAGCCTCCTCTCTGACGCCATGTCTTGCCCATACCAATCCCGGAGCCTCCAGAGTGGTGGTCGAACAACCGCTTGATGTCAGCAGCCCGCGGGTGCTGTCTAGCGCGCCTGGCAGCACGGACTCGTTGCCGTGCTCGGGACCTCTTGGCGCGGGCTCGTCTGTGCCAGCTGGGAGATGGCACGGGAATGAGGGCTAACTAGCGTGTCCTGCGACACTGGGGCAACAATGGATCCTGCACTCTGCAGGCAATTTGAGCCCTTGCTCCGTCACAGATATATAACCTTTAGGGTCCATGTACCCAAGTAGTATATAAGACAAAAGTATATACTTTGGCCCGAAAGTATGCCTACGGGGACTACTCTAAGGCCGACGCATAATACTAGCTGGGCACATGGACCCTTAGGATATAAGAGGCAACCCTCACAATCCAGATCTGGATCAGGTGATTGGCATTCTATGTCTCGTATGGACCTTTCCCTAAAGTTAAGGGGTCCGTGTACCCATGTAGTCAGGCAGTGTATGCTTTGACCATGAAGCACGTTGATTGGGAGTACTAAGGGCAAAGTATATACTATTGCACATGTCATATGGGCACATGGCCCCTTGGTTTTGTCGAAGACGGACTACGACGGCTGCCTTGGCGGCTTTGAGTTTGCAGGTCCTGTATCGGAGTTTCCTGTGTGAGGTGGGGTTTGGAGCTTTTCCAGGGGAGCCAACTGAGCAGATCCAAACTGCTAAAATACTGTGACAACATGCTATACTGCCTCTCTATATGCGAACGCCAATAAGGCCTGAGCATAGACTTAAAAGGAATGTGGAACCTTACGGTCCGTGTGCCCGATTAGTATATACTTCGGCCCCAGAGTACCTATACAGGGACTACTTTTAGGCCGAAGTATATACTCTTGGGTACATGAAGCGTTAGGGATATATATATATATATACATACAGATATATGTATAACACCGAAATCTCCACAAGATGGACCTGACTGAAAAGATGCAGAAACTCAAGGACTGAGAAGCCAAAAGCCACTGTAAAGAACCTCCCAAAACCTCCCGAGCCCCAAGGTTCCATGTGTCGAAACGGTATATGAACGGTTGTCAGAATTGGGGTCCCTTTTTGGGTACCCTAAATAATAGGTGCCGTATGATAATAATGAGCTAAAAAAGGACCCGAATTTTGACAACTACCCATATGCTTCGGCCCAAAAGTAGTCCCTATATAGCTCCTGTGCGGACAATGTATTTTCTATTTGGGTACACGGACACTTAGGGAAGCCCTCCTAAACCCCAAATCCTACAAGCCAACCCCTAAACTCCCAAGGCACGAACCCTAAACCTTACTTGGAGGCCCTTTTGACTTAGTAAGTAGGGTTAGTAAGGTGGGTTATGGGGATTATAATAGGGTTTCTAAGGGATACTAAGTAGACTTACTAAGTCAAAAGGGCCTCCAAGTACCCTCTAAACCCCCTAACCCGAAACTCCCTTTCCGCGAACCCTGCACCCTAATCCACCCTGTATAAACCCGAGAAAACCCTAAACCAACCGTCTGACTCCATCCTGTATAGTAGAAGCCAGAAAGAAGGAACGGAACCTGGTTAATTTCATGCCCTTAAGGTATGTTCCAACTTTCTGGGGTTCGCTATAAATCATTATGGCACCAGAATTGGCCTGATAGTACGAGTACATCAGCGCCCAGGCCTTGCTGTGTTGTCTTTGGGGTTTAGAATAGGATTCAGGTATTCGGCAACCCAAGAAAGGAACTACAAACCCTAAACCTAAACCGTGATTACAGTGGAGACTTTATAGGTAGGGTGCACTTCCCGCTTAATTGGGATGGGCGGCTTCAGAGAGTAAGGCTTACGGGCACAAGGGCTTGGGCTTAATACTAGGGCCTTAAAAATTAGAATAGGGTTTTTGGGGCCCATTATGCTATTGTTATAAGAAGGAACCCCCACACTATTCTAGGTAATTATTAAAGCCCCAGAAGTATCCGTGTGAGGTTGGGTTTAAGTTAACCCCGTCTCCTTCTGCACTAGATCTTTCGCACGGGAGCGGTTTGCTGTTTTGTGGGTTGCGGGTCGGCGATTGGGATTATAGGGCTTCGGGCACTGAAAGGCTGGGGATTCAGGGCTCAAGGATGCTCGAGGTATCGCTCTTCTATTGTGGGTCCAACCTTAGCAGATGAAGGAATTGTAGGGATTTAATACCCTGGGGATCGAAATTCTTAATAAGTAGCCATATGCCATACCTACCAAGTTGCAAGGGCATATGATGAATGGGTTTATACTCCCGAAAACTAAGCTACAATACTACGTAACTACTACCCGAAACCCGAGTACCTAATTAGTGGCTCCGTTGCTTGGACCCTACAAAGCGCCCTCGGTTGGGGTATATCTAGTTGTGGGTACATGATTAACTGTGACGATAATGACAACTGTGTATATAATGCCAGATGTCCGGATAGTATTCATGTGTCGGCCCTTCGACCGCCTACATGACTAAAACCTGCATCAAAAACCCACCCAACCTTAAACACCAAACCTCAAACCCTAAACTTGTATATGCAGTCTTGACAGCTTGGTCGTGGATTTCAAATCCGAGGCATCGAAACCAAGGGCCTTTGCACATTTGGCCTTTAAGTCCAAATTTTAGGTGCTCTCCTGGACCCTGAGGACCTGTCCGTAAGGGCTTTTTTTTAATGGAAATCGTACTAGGGAGCCCTAGAATGAGCAGGTTCTGGGGGGTAAGGTAGGGAATAAGTCTTTAGGGGCTCAGAGGGTATAAGCATGGGGTTTAGGGCTTTAGGGAGCTTACACAGCAAGGCCAAACCCCGCGGGATTTCGGTGGCGTGCACCAATTATCCTGCCATACAAGTAAGGCTCAAAAACAACCCAAAGCCGTATGTACTATTGGTCTTTGGGCCCCAAATCCGTGAACACATGAACCCTAAACCCTCAACCCTAAACCCTGAGTCCTCAGAGCCTTAGGGTTGGAAGCTTGTTGAGTGGGACAACCAAGTTCTACATCTCACCGGGGTCCTTGAAAAGGATCCTTGGGTGTAGGCTACTGGAGTCTCCCTGTGCTGTCCGTTCCTAGGGGACTGGACTCTGGCATCTTAAAGGTCTCAGACACCCATGGCATTTCTGTTGAAACTTCTTGGGTTGGGAAAGCTGTACCCTAAGGCCCCCAATTTGCTAGCTAGCGTAGCCCTGAAAATAGTTGGACCCCAAAGGTAACAAGGATGACACATCATACAAACCCCAAGGCAACACACGTCCTCCAACCCCCAGAGCTCAACACGGGACCCTGGACGACACCCTAAAACCCCTACACACACTCTCAGATATAAGGGCCTAAATAATTAACT